TACTCAGCTATAAATTTTACTTCAAAATTCACTGTAGGTGTGAAAACAGAAATATCTTCATAATAATAATAATGAATTTAGTTAGGATATTTTAGCTGACTAGAGAGGAATAAGCTCAAGGTTTTAAGCATCTGACATATTAAAAAGCATAAAATAATGTCCTGCTGCCATAAGAAGCAAAAAAGGTATTTTAGAGGGTACATTACATTAGTCTCAGTTATATGTGAATACACCATTCACTACATTACTGGCTGTAATGCCCTAATCCGACCTGTGCATTGCAGTACAGCAATGCACAAAACTGACTTTGGTGCTACAAGGTTCCATTTGGTGGGGTATGAGTCAAAATAAATCTCGCCAGTAGACCTTATCACGTGTTTCAGCAAACCACAATGCACGGAAGATAATCATCAGACTTGAGACTTATTTGCACTTCTTTCAAAATGAATAAATTCCTTACAGTAACACATGCTACAGCACAAAAAAAACCGCACACATAGGAAATGTCTGAATGGGCTTAAAATCAATAAAATGAATACATACTGTATATGTATAAACACTTTCCCCCTAGTGCCAGCTGCTGTCAATCCTTACATGAAGTATCTCAATATGCAATGTAGATTGATCAGGATATTCAGATCATAGATAGCAATTACAGGAAGCATAATAAAATGTATGGGCAGAAGTTATCAAGGCAGGAGCAATATAATATAAGGGCATATTTTGTCTGAAAGCATTGACTCACTCAACAAAAGACTTGATGATCAACATCTCCAAGATATGCCCGTTCCTAACCTTGGAAACCACTAAGCAACTTATTCACTCCCTTGTTATCTCTCGCCTTGACTATTGTAACTCCCTCCTCATTGGCCTACCTCATCGCAGGCTATCATGAATGCTGCTGCCAGACTTATCCACCTTACTAACCGTTCTGTATCAGCCACCCCTCTCTGCCAATCCCTCCACTGGTTTCCCATTGCCCAACGGATAAAATTCAAAACATTAACAATAACGTATAAAGCCATTTATAACTCTGCCCCAAATTACATCACCGATCTTGTCTCTAAATATTACCCAAACCGTACTCTCCGCTCTTCCCACGACCTCCTGCTCTCTAGCTCACTTGTCTCCTCCTCCCATGCTCATCTCTCCAGGACTTCTCCAGAGCTTCCCCCAACCTCTGACACTCTCTACCCCAATTTATCAGCCTATCGCCTACTCTGCTCACTTTTAGGTGATCTCTTCAGGGAAGCCTATCTTGCCCTCAGCTAATAATGGAATCTTCTACTCTTCCAACTAGTCCATCCCCCACAGTTACTACCTTTTGTACCACTAGCCCCTCCCTCCTAGATTGTAAGCTCCAAGGAGCAGGGCCCTCCTTTCCCTCTTGTATTGAACTGTATTGTTGCTGTATTGTCTTCCGTTATATTGTAAAGCGTTGAACAAACTGTTGGCGCTATATAAATCCTGTATAATAAGAACAACAATAATAATTCTCTTTCTATGGAAACCTATAACTTTCAGTGAATGGTTCACTCACAATCCCAGCTTCAGTACCTCTATATAGATTGTGAAATATTTACCATCATACCCATTGTGTTTTCTCATGTACCACTTTAATTAGGACCTCATATATAGTCAGATCCCTGTTTTCCACAGATTAATGACCTTAAGTAAAAAAAAGTCTGCTGTAAGTTAGTTTTAGATACACAACTGTTTTTGGTTTTTTTTTTTTACTTTTTTAATAAAACGTAAGGTTGAATGGAAGGTTTCACCTCACCTTCCATTCTGGTGACAGCGGTAGGATTTTGAAGTTCTCATAATTTTCTATTTTCAGTGACAATGGTCACCAGGAGAAATGGAAGGCTGCATGTCCCCAGCAGCAATAAGAGGTCCTAGTCCTTCCCTACCTACATATATGTGTATAATTTTATATATATATATATATATATATATATATATATATATATATATATATATATATATATATATATATATATAAAATGTTTGGCTATAGATGCACTTTAAACAAAAAAGTACATGTACTATATCAAGTATGCAACATGTATTTTTCTTCAGCAAGAGTCCGAGAGACTTAGAATAACCACTTGCTCTCTTGAGGATTTACCCCCCTTCATCACCAGGCCATTTTTGCGTTTACGCCCTTTTTTTCGGTGGTATTTGATCACCTCTGCGTTTTTTTTATTTTTTGCGCCATAAGCAAACAAAGACCAACAATTTTGAGAACATTTTGTGATTAAACATGTCCAGTAAAAAAAATTTAATTTAGTCATAAATTTAGGCCAAAATGTATTCTGCTACATGTCTTTGCTAAAAACAAATCCCAATACATGTAAATTAATTGGTTTACGTGAAAGTTATAGCGTTTACAAATGGAGGTATAGATAATGGGATTTTTTTTTTCTACTAGTAATGGCGCCAATCTGTGACTTTTGGCAGGACTGCGGAGGACATTCTGACAATGGAGGGAAACTTAGTGTCACTGACATTCCCAGTGACACCAATACAGTGATCAGTGTTAAAAAAAAAAAAAGCACCGACAGTGTACTAATGGCACTGGGCAGGAAGGGGTTAATGTGAGGGGTGATCAAAGGGTTAACTGTGTGTAGGGAGTGTTTTACTAGGGGGTGGGGGGGGGGGTATTCTTCACTCTAGGCACACTGATCGGAATGGCTGTACTGTGCACAGCCATCCCAAGCAGTGTACCCGAGCTGGCAGGGAGGAAGATTGTTTGTAAACAAAACAATCTCCCTCCCTGTCGGAGATGCTCAGTAATCACCAGGCGCCGGCGGGTAATTACCAGCCGAGACTCGGTAATTGACATCCACGAATGGCGGTGCAGGTAGGCTGTTCGCCCCTACCCGGAAATGCAAAATCACGTATATATACACGTGATTCTACGCAAGGTGCTGCCCTGTAGCAGTATATCTGCTATAGGGCGGTCCTTAAGCGGTTAAACAAAGTGAAAATTTGCGATTTATGATACAACATTGAAGCCCCTCCCTCAAGTATAATGGATTACACTGCTTAATTTAAGTTTACTTAGCTGTTAAGCTCAATTATGTTGGCAGTACATAAATGACTGTTGATAAACACAAAAATGTAATATACAGTATACAAATGTATAATTTCAGTAACAAGTGCCTCTTCTGTTCAAGGGCTGTAAACGCAATATACCTAAAGGTGAACATGTGGTAAATGTAACTAATAGTCAGTAATTATTACCTACTGGCTTAGTACAGATCTGCGAATTACAGATCTTTTACTGATGTACTGTTTTGGGGAGAGTTACTATGTGTCAGTATGTACTGTATAGTTCACCAACAGCACTAAAACATCACATTATATATCGTAACAACTATTTAACGCAATAAAGAAAACTCGACTAACAGTAATTCTAACAAATAAAACAAACAAAATTTATATCAGACATTCCAATGGACATTAATATAACATATACTCGAACATTCAAGTTGTTTTAGAATGGCAATTTCAAGTGTAACCTCATATGGGAGTTGAGGAGTGACTTGAAAGTTAATAAATTGATATTAGACCCTTCTAAACATTTTTCCTAATATTTACCATTAATAGATATTTACCTTCAGACATAATTAATAAGACCGTTACCCCTAGAAGCAATCAAGTAGGTCACACCCAACCTGAAACTTTCCTATACATATAGCAGGTTTGTACATATGATGCCCAAGATTTGCTGGTCTGTGGTTATTAAGTGATGTTGCTACAGGCCTGCAGTTCCTTGTAGTATGGAGTCCTGCTGCCACTAGAAGTGTATCCTCTATAAAATCTGGAGATGCCTATACATGTGCAAATCAGGATGTCCAAAGGCAACTCTGTGGTAAAAGTCAAATATGACAGACAAGGGCAGTCTGGGAGGACAATGGGAACAAATAGCCATAAGCACACACAACTCTTCAATGACTGCACCTTTAGTACCACTTTCAAACCAATTACAGAGCAGTTATAAGTAAAAAGGTAAGTAAGAGTTCTTACCTAGCAAAGTAAAGGGGTGTACGGAGGTATGGACAGAGATCTGTCTGCAGGAGCCTAAAATTGCACCAGTGATCCACTGATTGCAGGTACAATGCTTTGCAGCAGGGGTGGGCAACTGCGACCCTCCAGCTGTTGCGGAACTAAAAGTCCCATCAAGTCTCTGGGAGTCATGCTTATAACAGTTAGTCTTGCAATGCCTCATGAGACATGTTCTTCCACAACAGTTAAGGGCCGCAGTTGCCCACCCCTACTTTGCAGACTCCTATGTAAAAAAAAAAAAATAGAGATCGGGAGCTTTCAGGTAGCCGTCAGTAACTGTCCGGAGCACACACGGTGCATGCTCTCGGAACATTCTGTTTTTTTTTTTGGGTACGCATATATACAGCCTCTTGGTGTTAAAGTACACCCGTTGAAAGGCCACATGCGCATACGGCCAGTGAGGAGGAGTTAAACAGGTCAAAGGTTTGCACATCTACCTTGAAGCCCTCTCACGTTGATAAAGGTAGATATTTTTAACCCACTAAAGCACAAAGAGGAGTGCAAAGCCAGATCACCAAGCTGTTATGGCACTTCAACAAGGAGTTAGTTCTCTTGGAAAATGGGTGCAACAAAACCAGGGAAGCAGGAAAGATGGGCTCAATAAGCAAAAATTTAACAAGGTTTTCTATATATATATATATATATATATATATATATATATATATATTATTTTAGGCAAAATATATTAGCATTACCCTAGTAGTAGTAGTAGTAAAGATCAATTAGAAGATGTGAGGATATTGATACACATTCTGCATTGAGCAACAACAAATTGTAGAACAAAACCAGGAGTGAAAAAATAATTGTAAACATTCATAACGCCTCTCCTCCTACTTAGAAAATGTAATAAACCTTTAGTATCTATAATATATTTGGAAATATTCTTTTGATATGTAGAAAGTTCATACAAATACCAACATGTAACGATTTCATAAAATAATATCATAAATTCTGCCAACTCTTCCCAGCCATTCTCTAACTGCCTGTCGGACACGGATATCATTCACATGACAGGTCAGCTGACTGATGCAAGGAAACACTGCTGGTTGCAGTGCTGCAAACATCTGGTCTGGCAGGATCTGAATTTGATTGAGAATGGTCAACACCATGTTGGTCCATGCCTAAAATATAAAACATTTAACCAATGAATGCAGGTTAAAATATAAGGGATATAAAGCCAACTGTGGTCAAGATAAAAATATATACAATATAATAAGAATAAAGCAATGGCAAAAGCAATTCAAAATAACATATCTTCCCTGTAATACTATAGACTAGGGGGAAGTCAGGTCAAAATTTAAAAAAAAAAAAAAAAAGAAAATTTTCAATATACACATTTCTCTGTGTTTTGTCTCTTTAAAATAGATTGCAAGTACAGAAACAGCCCTGCCCAGTTCTCTTCTGTGGATTACAGAATACCTCTCCTTATGTAATGGAGATGGTAATGGAGATGATGACGAGAGTGGGAGATGTAACCCCACCCCAACTCCAAACCCAAAGTGCAGTCTAAGGTTACAACACTGTACATCCATAGATACAGTACATGGAAGAAGTGTTGTCACACTACAGAAAGTATGTTATTGGCAGGATCACCAGGTAAAAATAAAAAGTCCTGACATAAAAAACAATTAAAACTAATGACGAAAAGCTGCAGTTTTTTCCTTTTTACAGTTACATACCTCAAAATAGATTGCTTAATCGTATAAAGGTACCAGATTGACTTTAAAAAGATAACAGTCGCTTGGCTGTACATGGTACAGTTACTGACAGTGTTATATGTCATCTGACACATCAAATCCACATCTCCACCCCTGACTCCACTCACTTGAACAAAGAGAAAGGTGCACACAGGGGCTGAACAGAGGGTGCAACTAACTCCAACCACATCACCATATCAACTGACAGGATTGGGAAGTGAGAAGATGTGCATGGTAAGGGATCTAATTGAGCATTGGTTTTTGGCGTTGACACTTCAATCCATACTGGTAACCATAATAGTTAGTCTAATTCAGTGTTTCTCAACCTTTTTTAGTCAAGGCACCATTTAAAATTATAGGACAGTTCCGAGGCACCCTTTAAAATTATGGACAGTTTTGAGGCACCCCATTCTAATATGTGAAAAACAGTCACAGTGGTGATTTATTATTCCAACGCAAATGCACATTTGCACACTAGTACCAACTAGTATTCCAATGTTTCTCTTCTCCCTCACTGAGCTATTGTGACCCCAGCAGTGATGGAAAAGGACAGGGAAGGCTCAAACTAGGATGCTGTGCAGGCAACTGACATCTTCCTCATCAACTGATGATGTCATGGGTTGTCAGGTCGCCGGTGGCTAGAAGGTCGTAATAGTGCACAATGAAAACCTGTAGCTTTGAGTAACTAAAACACAGGCTTTTTCCACCCGCTGGCTTGCATACATATTTTAGGTGATTGTTAGACATTTTGCCAAGGCACACATGTAGCAACCTCAAGGCATCCCAGGGTGCCTGGGCACCCGGATTGAGAAAGACTGGTCTAATTCATTGTTTCCCAACCTTTTTTCAGTCAAGGCAGTCTTTAAAATGATGCAAAATCTCGAGGCACCCCATTCTAAAATGTAAAAAAACTAAACTAATCATTTTACATACTGCAGCAGTAGCCACACATGTAGGGCACCCAAAATTAGGGGTGATTATTCCTCCACCTTTGCATAAAAGTACTGACTAGTATTCAAGCATTTCTCTTCTCCCTCAGTTTCTGCCTCTGCTAACGTGACCCCAGTGCTGACAAAGAGGGGCAAACAAGGATTCTGTAAAGGTGCCTGACATCCTCCTTATTAACAAACAATCTCATTGGTGGTTAGGATGCCATAGGATTACCTGCACTTTGCCCAAGGTTTTGTGTAACAAAAGGCAGCTTGATCCAATTGCTGGCTTGTTGATAATTTTTGGGGAATTTGATGCAATTATTAAGGCATTTTGACAAGGCACCTCTGAAGAACCCAGAAGGTGCTCTAGGGTGCCATGGCACCCTTGTTGAAAGAGACTGGTTTAATTTAACCAATAAAAAGAAAATATTTAGAGATCCAGTCCCATACCAACAACTGGTTAGCATTCCCCTGCTATGGACTAGGGAATATCATCAATTGCCTGCTTTGCCAGTGCATATGCAATTAAAATATGCAAAAAATGAATTAGAAATGAAGATGGGCATTGAATAATTATTAAACAGAGGAGGAAGTAATGGTTTAGCAAAGTAGTCCATAATAATTGCAAAGATTAAAAAAAGTTACCTGTATTTGTGCCTCTGCATCCCTTGTTGATATATTAAAACTGCTAACAGTGGATCCAGAGCGGGATCTCTTTTCTTGCCTCAGTATCTCTGGACCAGCGCTGAATGAATGTCTCATCTGGGTTTGGTCCACAAGATGTTGTGGTCTTTGAGGCATTGGGGAATCCTGGCCTCTTGAGCAGAGAATGTCCCCCTTTTTATCCAATTTAGTATCTTTTACAAATGTAGTCAGGTTATGCTGCTGCTTTCTCTTTTTATACTCAGTCATCAATTTTGCAATTGTTTTATCTGTGGCTATTGTATAGATTTTGTTGCCAGCATTCTCCCACCATTCTTTTTTCCTAGACGGATCTCTTTTCTCCATTTTAGGGCTTTGTGGAATTGCTGCACCAAAACTTCTGGGTGGCATGGTATCAGTAAAATGGTCTTTGCTTAGATTTCTATCATCTTCTGAAGGTGTATCTTTGCCTGATAAGCCTCCTGTGGAAGGGGTAGAAGTTTCTGACTGAAATGATGGTAAAATAAAGAAAGGATCTCCTTTAATTCCTGGATGATCATCATTATTCTCCAAGTCCAGGTGCATCTGAATGTAGTTATTACACAGCTCCATGCACAGTTTATGTAGCCTTTTTACTAACCAAGCCCAATCAGCATTACTTACTGGCTGGACACTCAGAGATGGGACTCGGGCCCTCCACTGCCTCTTCTCTTTGCCTCGTGGAGGACTGACTTGGGCAGTTTCCTCAAAGATGTCTTCATCTTCTGAAGAACATTGCTGAGATGAGTCTGTGCTGTGCTCATCTTCTTCATAAAGTATTTTCTTGACAACATCTGCAGTAATGTTGTCTTGATTGGTCAGCAAAGCACAAATTAGAGCCTGAAAATATATGTTAAAGCTCATTGCTGCTTGTCGGTAAAGATTTGCTGCTCCACCAATCCCTGAAACTTTCATTAGTAAACATTTCAGTCCTGGACGGGCATCAAACTCTCGGGCTGTTCTATAGGAATCCAACAACAGGTCAAAAATCACAGCCAAATTCTGCATAGAAATGTATCGAAGGAATCCAACAGTTTTGGCCTCTTGGATAGGAGCAGTTTTATCCTCTAAAACTGTAGAACCTTTCACAAATTCTTCTAGCAAAATGTCATAGAGATTTTGCAGCAACACTTGGTGGGATAATAAACTGACTACGATAGTCCTAAATGGAATGCTTTAGAAGAAAAAGAGAAAAAAAAAAATTAGAACCTTAATTTACCCTTGAAAGTCTATTGTTTCATTTACATCTGTTTAGCACAATACTTTTAGTACCACACAGTTACTATTTGTCCAATATTTGGGTAAGGTCTGGGTAAATGGAAATTCTGAATTGGTGGAAAAAAAATTGGTCCTTCATAAGTGCAAAGCACATTAATTCCTGCTGAATTGGTCCGAATCCATTCGCATCTGCTTGCAACAGGACTCTGGTCAAAGTCAGGCAGAAAATCATCGACCGAACAGTGCCTGCAACTAGAAAGATGCGGGCTCTGTTCAGGTATTCTGACAGCTGTGGGTGCCAACTGTCAGACCCCATTCACACTAGGTTTTTTCAAATCGCGGACGCGGCAAAAATGCCCTGCGTTTTCAAGTGCCATTCAAATGAATGGCACCTGAAACCGCAACTGCGCGTTTACACACTTTGACAACGAGTTTTCAAATCGCGGACATTCCACCCACAATTTGAAAAAACCTAGTGTGAATGGAGCCTCAGGATAGAATAGCCAGAGCTGCAGATTCATCCATCCATTGTTTAACATGGATGGAGGACTCACGTGATTTTTCTTATTCAGCACACAGAACTGAAAGGTGTGTGGTCAACTCTTAACGTCCATTAATCAAATCTTGTAAACCACAAAATTACAAACCTACATCAATGGAACCATTTACTTGTATGTATTGCAAGAACTGCTCATATCACTGAGAACCATGCTTTGTAAATAAAATGAATGAATGAGTGCAGAAAAAAAACAAAAATTAAATGCTATAAACAGGTTACTAGCAGGTGTACAAATAAAAGAAAAAAAGGTTTATGGTGATCAGCTTGTGTAAGATGTAGTTTTTTCTTTCCACTACTGTATATTGATGACAAGAAAGCATATTTAGTGCGGATGGTTAGTACCAAAGAAGAAAAGACAACATTCCTATACATACAGTATATATAGCATGAAGAGCATAGAGCTTTGACAAAGAATTTGTTAACTGCTTCAGAAAGTTTTAACTAATGAAATTATGTTGTTTAATTAATAAATAACCATTTTCCAGATGTGTAGCATTTGAAGCAAAATTAACAAACTCATTATTGATGAAAGCACAATGAAATAGCATTACGATGCAGAGAAAGCAGTAGAAATATCTTACCCCAGTTTTCTGTTAAGTAGTGCAGCGATAGTTAAAGGCGGGAGAGAAAAAAGCAGATAATTAGAAAGCGGCACATGCAAACATGGCATCAGTACACAAATCTGTTTTGTGATAACACGAACTAGGAATAGGATGGAAAGAATATTCATCAATAGCCATGCAATAGTTTGGTTGGACATGAAATACATACACAAACACGGGGGGGGGGGGGGGGTAAAGGATATGAGCATCAGCACTTTGGAATTTCAGCACTCCTCCATCTCAGGCAGAGATTTCAGCATGCTGGAAGATATCTGTGAATATATGTTTATGTTTGCCTTTTCATGGAGAAGGGAATGATCCTTTTTGCTGTACATACCTCATATTTATAAGGAAATGGAAAAAGGTTGCAAATTGTTTTGGAGGTGCATACAGTGAGCTAGAACAAGGGCACATTTACCCCCACTGACCTAATTTAGGAGATCAGATAATTTGCCTATATAGCAGCTCACCTACAGTAGGCTCAAAGACCAGCTAGGATAGCTAAAGAATGTTTTAGAAATTGAAACAGTCCTGCCATTAGACATCACTATAATACTGTGAAATATGGCAGTGAGATGTAAATGAATCTTAACTGGTTTTGTTTAGTATTTTCTTTTTATCCACTTTTAACCTCTACAATTTTATGCATGCCACCCCTTCCCCCAATATGGTTTACTAATAAACCTTATTTGTTGCTGAAGTTACTCCGTAAAGTGTTACTAAATCCACAACTGCGAAATCAGTCTGTATAAGCAGTGAAGCATGCTTGTTATACTAAGGGGTTAATCCTCTGCATTGTGTAAAAAGGCTGTTTGATCCTGTCTTCCCTGATCATCCCCCTTCTTCCATATCCCCTAATTCATCTTCTGATAGTACAGAGCTCTAGGAGTCACTTTGCACATGCTCAGTTTAGTGTGTATTGCTAGAGTGTTTTTATTTTCTTTGGGAGGATGCATGTTTTCAGCACAGGGCCAATCAGCACTGCCCAGACAGAGGGTCACGGGTTATGAATCACAGGACAGTCATGAATGAAAACTCCTACAAGCTTTAGCCAGTGCTCAGATGGACCTTGAATGAAGTCACATAACTGCTATATACTGCCGATGAGAAAAGTTATTTAGCAGTTTATATTTACTAAAATAATTACATCTCCCTGTTCTGTGTACTGTGGGAGACCAGATATAGTGAATGCAGGGTCCTGGGTTTAGTAACGCTTCCCCCACGGCAGATATACTACAGGGCAGCAGGGGTGCACAAAATTATATATATATATATATATATATATATATATATATATATATATATATATATATACACACATACACATACACACACACACACAATCGTGCAAAAGTTCATTTATTTCAGTAATGCAACTTAAAAGGTGAAACTAATATATAAGATAGACTCATTACATGCAAAGCAAGATAGTTCCAGCCGTGATTTGTCATCATTATGATGATTATGGCTTACAGCTCAGGAAAACCACAATCTCAGAAAATTAGAATATTGTGAAAAGATACAATATTCTCGGCTCAAAGTGTACTCCCATTTCCGGGTAGGGGGCGCTCATGGATCGCACGCGCACTATTCATGCCGCCATCCATGACCGTCAATGACCGGGTCCAGGCCGGTGATTACCCGCCGCGCCCACTGATTACCGAGGATCTCTGACGAGGAGGAGGGCTGCTTTGTTTACTAACAGTCCTCCTCCCTGTTGGCTCGGGCACCCTGCTCTGGATGGCTGTGCACAGCACAGTCATCCAGAGCAGTGTGCTTGCAGTGCAGCACCAACACACCACCCCCCAGGAAAACACTCCCAGCACACAGTTAACCCTTTGATCGCCCCTCATGGGAACCCCTTCCTGCCCAGTGCCATTAGTACAGTGTCCGTGCTTTTTTTTGTTAGCACTGATCAGTTCCCCCCCCCCCCCAGTGTCAGAATGTCTGCTGCAGTCCCGCAATAAGTCACTGATCGCCGCCATTTGTACAAGCTATAAACTTTCACGTAAACCAATTACACGTATTGTGATTTTTTTTTAACAAAAACATGTCGCAGAATACATTTTGCTCTAAATTTATGACGAAATTAGATTTTTTTTATTTTTTCACTGGACATGTTTAAATAGCAAATAGTCAAAAATATTGTTTTTTTTCTCAAAATTGTCACTTTTTTTTATAGCACAAAAAATTTTAAAAACGCACAGGCGATCAAATACCACAGAAAGAAAGCGCAAATCATGGGGAAAAGAAAGGACATAAAATTTCATTTGGGTGAAGCGCTGCATGACCGTGCAATTGTCAGTTAAAGTAATGGAGCGCTTTAACACAAAAGATGGCCTGGTCAGGAAGGGCAAGTGGTTAAAGTGAATCTGTGCTGTGCCAACAGGTCCATTTAACTGCCCCTCTTTGTTTTACGTTTACTTCTCTGCCATCCCATTTGCTCACTGCACAAAACAAAGGTTCACTTTAAAAATATTTCAGTGACTGGATACCTTTTCTGTGTGTGCCCATTGGTCTTCTCATCAGGTGGAAGCTCTATAATAAGCACACATGACTGGGCATGCTCAAAACCTTCTTTGTTGTTAGGGGTCTTTGGTGAACACTGAGTTTCCAGCATAAACACCTTTCAAATAAAAAGAAAACAAATATTAAATAACTACTGTTACATGCACATTGCCATACAACTTTGTAACAATTAAACATGGTCCTAAGCATTAAAGCAGCCTCCTTTTGTCAGACAATAGATCAGCCCCACTGGTTAAAATGGGGCTCCTAGAGGTCAGCAGAGCCTGAAAATGGAGGAAACATATTCATGTTTTACTCAGGGTCATGTTTTGCTTGATCTCATAGTGTACACATCGTTTTGTGCAGCACATATATAAGGAGTGTACAAAGATTAGGTACTCTGCATCTGCACGAATAAGCTCAACCTTGTTTCATGTATCTGTTAACTACTCCTGTTATCATTATCAAGGCAGAATACAAAAAGTTAATGTTCTGAGATCATCTTTTAAAAGTTGCTTCTCTAATTAATCCTGTCACACATTAGCAAATCAGCATTACTATGAAGAGAATTGAGTATTTTTTTTAAAGCAGAACTGTGGCAAGGATGAAAATAAAAAAAAAAAAATTCAAAAGTGAAATTACAGTTGCAAGAAAAAGTATGTGAACCCCTTGGGATTACGTGGAGTTTTGCATGAATTGGGCATAAAATGTGCTCTGAACATCATCTAAGTCACAACAATAGAAGAACAGTCTGCTGAACATAATACTACACAAACATTAGATGTTGCCATGGTTTAATTGCACATAACATGTAAACTTTCACAGTGCGGGGAGGAAAAAGTATGTGAACCTTTGGACTTAACTGGTTGACCCTCCTTTGGCAGGAATAACCTCAACCAAACGTTTCCTGTAGTTGCAGATCAGACCTGCACAACGATCTGGAGTAATTTTGGACCACTCCTCTTCACAAAATTGTTTCAGTGTAGCAATATTCTTGGGATGTCTGGTGTGAATCGCTCTCTTAAGGTCATGCCACAGCATTTCAATCGGGTTGAGGTCAGGACTCTGACTGGGCCACTCCAGAAGGCGTATTCTGTGCTGTTGCAGCCATTGTTTTGTTGAATTACTTGTATGCTTTTGGGTCATTGTCCTGTTGCATCACCCATCCTCTGCGGAGCTTCACTTGGCGGACAGATGGTCGTACGTTTTCCTGCAAAATGTCTTGATAAACTCTGGAATTCATTTTCCCATCAATGACAACAATCCGTCCAGGCCCTGAGGCAGCAAAGCAGCCCCAAACCATGATGCTCCCTCTGCCAAGTTTTACAGTGGGGATGAGGTTTTGATGTTGGTGTGCTGTGCCTTCTTTTCTCCACACATAGTGTTGTGTGTTCTTCCCAAACAACTCAATCTTGGTTTCATCTGTCCACAGTATATTTTGCCAGTAGAGCTGTGGAACATCCAGGTGCTCTTTTGCAAACTTCAAACGTGCTGCAATATTCTTTTTGGACAGCAATGGCTTCCTCCGTGGTGTCCTCCCATGTACTCCATTCTTGTTTAATGTTTTCCTTATTGTAGATGTGTCAACAAAAATGTTAGCATGTGCCAGAGATTTCTGTAGGTCTTTAGCGGACACTCTGGGATTCTTCTTTACCTCATGCAGCATTCTGCGCTGTGCTCTTGCAGTCATTTTTACAGGACGACCACACCTAGGGAGAGTAGCAACAGTGCAAAACTTTCTCCATTTGTAGACAGTCTGTATTACGGTGGACACATGAACATCAAGGCTTTTGGAGATACTTTTGTAACCCTTTCCAGCTTCATGCAAGTCAACAATTCTTGATCGTAGGTCTTCTGAGAGCTCTTTTCTGCAAGGCATGGTTCACATCAGACAGTGCTTCTTGAAACCAGTAAACCCAAAACAGGTGTGTGTTTTTTAAGGGCAGGACAGCTGTCAGCAAAACATCCAATATCATCACACTGATTGGAGTCAAGGTTGGCTCACTCCTGGCTCCAATTAGCTCTGGGAGAAGTCATTAATCTAGGGCCTCACATACTTTTTCCTCCCTGCACTGTGAATGTTTACATGTTATGTGCAATTAAACCATGGCAACATCTAATGTTTGTATAGTATTATGTTCAGCAGACTGTTCTTTTATTGTGACTTAGATGACGTTCAGAGCACATTTTATGCCCAATTCATGCAAAACTCCACGTAATCCCAAGGGGTTCACATACATTTTCTTACAACTGTACATAACGTCAGGCTATATGCACTTACTGAATTGTGACTATGCATGTACTAAAGGTTACCATTTATTGTCTCAATTAAGTCAAACTGAGGTTATGTTTTTAAATGTTGGGTAGAAATAGATCATGTGTAAAGGCTAATTTGCTGTTAGCAATTGATAAAATGAAGGCACTGTCAAAAGACAAATTTCATTTAAGGCTAATATTTTTTTGAGCTCTTAGTTCCTAAATTTTTGACACACTTACCTGTTGCGTCATGGCTCGGATTCTCCAATACTCTGCTTCTGCATTTGGAGACAAAGATGGAGCTGCCACCTTCACTTCGCAGGCATCACCAGAAAAACTTTCTGACCCGCTATGGAAGTAGCCTAAGAGATTCTGCAAATGCATGGACGATAAAAGGGCAATCTTTAATAGGAAGAAATACCAATGTTAAATAACAAAACAATGCATAAAAACAGGATTTTTAACAAAGTGCAAAATCATTTTCTTGCAGTACATTACAGACACAGGAGGAGTAGTCAGGTACATAGGGTTATGCTGCTGCCTTCAAGAAACTGGACACTGAAAAAACAAAAGCTGTAAAAAACAGCCTAGTCTAACCCCTCTCACTCCCAGCATGTCTTAGATCTGTTAGCAAGCAAAAGTAGGAGTAGATTATAGGAACAGAGGGGATCGGCCCGTGTTCTGTAATGTATTCTAAGAAAAGGATTTTATGGCAAGTCAAAAATCCTATTTTCTTAATTGTACATTAGGGGACACAGAATGAGTATTCAGGTACATTGGGAGGTCCAAAACTAGTTAAAATGAGTGGTTTGCAACCGAGAAAACAAAGGCTATTAGGCCTATAAAAACCCAACAGGTTAACAGAGGTGGCTCTACAGAGCCTAGAGAGTCACCTGAAGAACCACATGATGGAAGCAGGCATCAGCTGAGGCCTGAAAATACAAATGGTAAAAACTAATGAAGGTGAAAACAGAAAAACAGGGGCAGCCTTGCAAATCTGAGAAACAGATGCCTGATGCTGTAAAGTCCATGAAGCACTAACTGATCTATAGGAGTGCACTTTGATAGGGAAAAAGGGAACCTTGCCCTTGTGGTCATGTTTATCAGCTGTAGCTGAGTGATACATTTGAACAGTGTGCACCACATACAATGGAGGGAAATCTCCTTATGATAAGGAGTAGAACAATGAGGTGGTAGAACAATGTCCTGGTTAAGATGAAAAGATGAAACCACCTTGGGAATTAAAAAAGCACTAGGCCTCAAAACAACCTTGTCCTTGTGATGCACAAAAAAAAAAATTGCCTTGCAAAAGTGATGACGATGAGAAAAGCAACCTTGCAAATAAGGAATCTGATAGGACTCTTACCGTCAGAAACTGAGCTTCAACAGCCAAGCTGTTAAAGTCAGTGATTGAGAAGCAGGTTGGCAAACCAACCCTTGGACAGAAGATCTGGCTGATATGTGAGGGAATACAGAGTCTTCCCGGAGTTTGAAAAAGTCTGAGTACCATGTCTTCCTGAAACAGCTCGGTGCGATGTGAATCACTGAAATATCCTCCATCCCTATCCTTTGAAGTATGCGAAGAAGCAGCTTCAATGAAAGAAAAACATAGATCACGTTGAACAGATTCCAATGAGTCACCAGAGCATCCCTCTGTGAAGGCTAAAGGATTTCCGCCCCTGGCAACAGATTCCTATTTATCTATAGGCTGGTATCTGTCTTGAGCACCTTTCAAGCCATTGAGAGGAAGGATCTTTCAAATTCCAGCACTGAACTTGTGACCCACCCACACCCAGGCAAGCCTAGTCCCGCTAGTAAGCCGTTAACTCCCTCATCGCTAGAGGTTCAGTAGAAGGAAGAGGAACTGTTATCACTACACAGAAGATTTCTAAAGGATCCAGCAATCTGACAAATGACATGGGATTGAATTCATCACAGATCAGTGATGTTACTGCAGCAAAATTATTTTTGACTCAAACGGCAACGTTAATGTCTGGGAGCCCAGGTACTGTGCAGAGGATAATATGCCTGATGTAGGTGCAGAGGAGTTGGAGGGAAGGCAATAAAGTCCATCTGTGCATGTACAGTTTGGTCACCATAGATGGGACTCGCAAAACAGTAGAAGGACCCAGAGCTTACACAGCCGTGGAAGGCAGGTCATTTGAGCACCAAATTTAAAGGAAAAAGCACAGCTCCTCCTTCCCAACAACAGCCATACTGCCTATTGTGTTGCAGCTAGAGTCTGTTTTTTTAAACCCTTTAGGGGAAACCAGACTTTGCCTACGTTTTACAAGGAGCCTTTATTGGTGCGTACAAACACCCTACTACCACAGCTGAGACCCAGCAATGGCCCTGCGGAACCATGTTAATTTCAGGACGTTTATTGAAAGGACAGTTTATATAACCAGAAGTGGGGAATGCTTTTCATTTTGGGATAAAAAAAACTAATTCTGGTTCGGACCTACTCAGGCGTGGCACGTGAAGGAATGGTGATGCACAGGAGCCACATTTCTTAGTTTAAACAAAGATTGTTTTGACTAAAAATGTGGAGATATTTCCATTTTTGCATTATTATATAAAGAGTGGAGCTCCAACCAGACACCTTTTGTTTATTTACTCTTTTCCTTGCTAATTGATTTGCAATTCAGCTCAGCTATTCTTGTCATTCAGGTCTCCCTGCCAGACAGCAGAGCCAAACTGGTGACCTTATTCTTCTCTTGCAGTTAACCTGTTGGGTCCTTAATCCTATTCCCTCATTTTGGAGACACATTGGGATTTATATGGTAGCAGATTATTATTACATATATTTTCCATAGGTTTAAATCTGGAAGAAATATTTAAAAAAAAAAAAGAAAAGTGAATTTTCCTGTGATTTTTCCAATGCAACATTCACATTATATGCATTCTCCCCAGATATATTAACCTTAACCAACAAAGTCTGAAGATTAAAAGATCACATTATTGTTATTTTCATGTAATCTAAAAGAATGGTAGTGTTAAAAGCAGGTGCCTCCTGTATGGAGAAAGTAGTCGCATGTATTGCTCAGGTGTGATTTTGGCCCAGTCTTCCACACAAACATTCTTCAAGTCCTAAAGGTTTCGTGGGCCTCTCTTCTATGAACTCTGATCTTCAGTTCTTTCCATAGATTTTCTATTGGATTCAAGTCAGGTGATTGGCTGGGCCACTCTAGCAGCTTTATTTTCTCTCTTTGAAACCAGTTGAGAGTTTCCTTGGCTTTGTGTTTGGGATCATTGTCTTGCTGAAATGTCCACCCTCGTTTCATCATCATCATCCTGGTAGATGGCAGCAAATTTTTATCAAGAATGTTTTGGTACATTTTTCCATTCATCCTTCCTGTAATATGAAGTTTGCCAGCATCGTATGCTGAAAAACAGCCCCACACCATGGTGTTCCTACCTCCACATTTCAGTGATGGTATAGTGTTTTTGGGGTGATGTGCAGTGCCATTTGACCTCCAAACATGATGTGTATTATGGCATCCAAAGACTTCAATTTTGGTCTCATCTGACCAGACTATATTCTCCCAGTATTTCACAGGCTTGTCTAAATTGTGTGCAAGAAACCTTAAAAATGAGCTTCAACCTTCTTTTTTTCTTCAGCAGTGGAGTCTTGCGTGGTGAGTGCATACAGGCCATGGCGGTTGAGTGCACTACTTTTTGTTTTCTTTGAAACAATTGTACCTGCTAATTCCAGGTCTTTCTGAAGCGCTCCACAAGTGATCCTTGGCTCTTGGACAATAATCTGATAATTATTTCCACTCCTCTGTCAGAAATGTTGTGAGGAGCACCTGGTCGTGTCTGGTTTATGGTGAAATTATATTCTTTCCACTTCCGGATTATGGCCCCAACAGTGCTCACTAGAACATTCAGAAGATTAGACATCCTTCTGTAACCAATGCCATCAGTATGTTTTGCAACAACAAGGTTGCAAAGGTCTTAAGAGAAGAGAGCTCTTTGCTTTTACCAATCAGCAGGATTACTTTCTAATTACTGATAGAATTCAACTGCGGTCTTGGCTTTCCATGCCTTTTTGCACCTCCCTTTCTTCATGTGTGCAATACTTTTTCCACGTGTCATTATTTTTTTTTTTAATACTGAATGTCGGAACTTATTTTTTTTTTTGTTTCTTTTTATGTATGGATTGCATGGGTTGGTACCCATGTGAGAGAGAGATAGATAGATAGATAGATAGATAGATAGATAGATAGATAGATATCACATATGAGGTGCTAAAAGGGGTGTGACCATGTGACAAGTTAACACCAAAAATTAAGAGTTAACCCTCTGCATAGCACAATAAACCGTTACCTATTTCTACCAAACCTTGCATTAAAACAGGGAATCTTGGTTCACATATATTGCTATACATGTTCAAGCTGGCAAACTGCATCTAAATGATCCCTACCTTGCTAGTTAATACTCTACTATGCAAATTTTGCAATTTTTTATTGCATAGTGCAGATCAGTGATCAGGCCTGAGTCGGCAGCTCCCCCTAACTGCGTCTATCTGCATGTTGGCACCAAATATCTATTTACACCGTCCCGCCTGGCCTATAGCAGAAGGACAGCTGGGCAGAACACTCGCCATTGTGACTGGGCGTCATATGATGTCATGTCAAAACGGGCCGCACAGCGGCACGATCTGTCACCGGCTGTGTCCATGGGACACAACCAATGACATATCACTACACCGGCCCGTTGTCAGTGTCGTGACAAATCACAGGAGATCACATGTCAATTGTATACAATGAACACGCCATCCATTGTACACAATTATGATGTTAGCTGTGACTGGTCAAGGCAGTCACAAGATACAGACGACCAATCACAGTCCATCTTTATCATGTGATCAGCTTTACCCAATCACAGCTAATCACAACAAAAGACTGACTGAATCAGTTTCATTCAGTAACAATGATTGCAAATATCAATGACATACATTGGTATTAGCAATCATAATGTGTTAAAAAAAAAATCTTGATCACTTGACCAGAGTAGTTCAGTGTTACTATGGTAACATTGTATTGCTTTGGTCACAGTGTGCTGAAAAATAAAATGGTAAAAAAAGAAACAAATTAATAAAAAATAAACATTTGAAAAATTACAAATTCAATTATTTTCACCAAAGAAATGTAGCAGAATATATTTTGACCTAAATTTCTGAAGAAATGTTATATATTTGCAAAATTTTATAACAGAAATGAAGAAAAGTGCGTTTTATTTCAAAAGTTTCCGGTTTTTTGTTTTATTTAGCAAAAATAAAAATCTCAGTGGTGATTAAATACCACCAGAAGAAAGCTATTTGTGTGAAAAAAAAATGATAAAAATTGAATATGGGTACAGTGTTGCATGACCGTGCAATTGCCATTCAAAGTGTGACAGCACTGAAAGCTGAAAATTGGCCTGGGCAGGAAGGGGGTATAAGTGCCCGGTACTGAAGTGGTTAAATATGCTATAAGCAGTAAGTATTTGACACTTTGCACAACAGAGTAGGGAACTGACCAGACAGGCATCACTATGACCAGCTTGAACAAGCATTGCAACATACGTGACTCAAGATTCCCTGTTTTTATGCAAAGGCTGAAAAATATACATAAGGAGGTATAGCAGTGTGCTAAGGTTTTATTCCCAATTCTCACTGTGAATATGTGGCCACAACCCCCACCCAATTAGCACCTCATGTGTTTGATAGATGTAAGCAATTTAGATTTGATCACAGACATCTCTCCATATCTAACGGTAAGAAAACATTTTGCATAATTGCCAAATTTAGTTATATTTGTGATTGCTAAAATCCCAAATGGCATTGCAATTGCTTACTTAATGCTCACGCAGTAAGGGCAAATAACATCCAGATTATCTGAGTTATCTGCTGATACTTGGGGAGGGAACATTTTTCATAACTAAATAAACCTCATTTCTTGCTTTATGACTGGCACTATAAATTCACTGTTTTATCTTTGAAGGTAAAGAGACGCAATCCTGTGAAAGGTTATGGGAATCAATATTTCTCCATAGGAGAGAGGTTCAAAAGGTAGGTCAAGTTTTGTGCAGTTCTCATACATTTGTCATGCAACTTGTAATGCGATTAATCTTCTAATCTGTTTGTAGTTTTTCCATAGTTGTGATATTTAGAACCATAGTAACATAGTATGACGCTATGAGCTGTGTCTATATAGTGCAATCTTGGTACACTATTCCCACATTTTTCAGAACATGCACACAGCTAAGACCTGCTCTTCAGCTATCTCATATAAGGGCACTGATATCTTGTTGTCTGTTGCCAGATATTTTCAAAGATGACTACACTACATTAAAAACAAGGCTCAAAAATGTCTTTTGTCTTCTTGCATTTACCATTACAGGCAGTCCCTGGGCTATGGACAAGATAGGTTCTGTAGGTTTGTTCTTAAGTTGAATTTGTATGTAAGTTGGAACATGTAGGCTTGTTCTTAAGTTGAATTTGTATGTAAGTTGGAACAGGTAAATTTTTTAAGTGTAACTCCAGCCAAAAAAATTATTTTTAAGTGTTGGATAGGATAAGGAAGGTTTAACTGGCCATTCAGTGATGTGGGATTGCTGACAGGTCCGCTGGACAGTAGATGGCAGCATGCGATGAGAAACAAGATGGCCGCCTGGCGGTTTCTAGGATCAGCGTGACATCACGCTGCCTCCAGTCTTAAGTACAAGTCATATACAAGTTGGATGTTTGTAACTCAGGGACGGACTGTATTAATAAAGCTGGGGTAAATGTGCCACCCTTTGAACATTCTCTGTGTATGCTTCAGTTCCCGAAGAAGCCTAACCCATCTTACAATGTAGTTTGAGGTGAAACTGTCGCTATATGAAAAAGGGTGACAAATGCAAAGCAAGCACCTCCAACAAGCCCTAAAATGTCATTCTGCACTTCAACTGGTGACCTGCTCCCTAGGTTGTTAGCACCTATACCCCCTGATCCTCATTGCTAGCTACTATTGTCACCACTGTGATGTGTGGCCTAATGAATAACGAGGCAGAGCTGGTGTCCACAAAAACAAGGGGGCATTTAAGAGCTCTTCAGATTGCTAGTCTCCAGGGACATTTTACAGCAAAAATATAGCCATGGGTTTGCTTTAACCAATTCCCTACCGTGCAAATGACGGCTACAGTACAGTCGTCCATTTCTGGGAGGACACCATATGACATCCTCCCAGAATGTGCCCCCAGCAGCGCACACCTGGTGCCATCTGTGATCGCTGTGACACAGCTGATCACATGACATGGTAAAAGGCCAATCACAGCAGCCTTTTACCACGCGATCAGCTGTGCCCAATCACAGCTGGCCACCATGTAAATATACTTGCAGGTTATAGGCAGTACATTCCTCATGCTGTCAGCGCGAGGAAAGTACTGCCGATAACTGGCAACTGTCAAAGGAGACATCTGCACTGATAATCAGGGCACTGATTATCAGTGCCCTAATTATCAGTGCAGCCCCAAAAGTGCCCAACAGTGCTGCCCATCAATGCCCAACAATGCTGCCAATCATCAATTCCCAACAGTGCTGCCCAGAAGTGCCACCAGTCAGCGCCGCCAGTCAGTGCCCTTCAGTGCTACCTATCAGTGCCCCTCATTGTGGCCTATCAGTGCAGCATCATCAGTGCCTCCTCATTAATGCCTACCAGTGCCGCCTCATCAGTGCAGCCTATCAGTTCCCATCAGTGCTGCCTATCAGTGCAGCCTCATCAATGCACATCAGTGAAGGAGAAAAAGTATTGTTTGCAAACTTTTTGCTCTTTGTTCGTTTACAGTACAAAAAATTAAAAACCCAGTGATGATTGAATACCACCAAAGAAAGCTCTATTTTTGTGGTAAAAAAAAATTATAAAAAGTTTATATGGGTACAGTGTTGCATGACCGCGCAATTGTCATTCAAAGTGGGACAGCACTGAAAGCAGAAAATTGGCCTGGGCAGGAAGGGGATAAAAGTTCCCATTAGGCAAGTGGTTAAACAGGATTTCACCCCAACATTCTAAAACATTCATAGACTAAATTTTTGAATAATGGTTTCATCAAGAAGACAAATCAACCTATATAAAATACATTTAAATTATATTTCTACAATACTGTGGAAAATTAAGAGTAAATGTATAGCTGTGATCTATGTATGTATTTTCTTTATCATGGTCAGGGCTACAAAAATTATTTTAGATATATTTCTTTATTTTGATACTAAATATGAAATGTTGCATATTAATATTATGCAGTCTTTTATGCAACCCAAGATAATGTCTGTTTTTTTTCAGCTGTTTCAACTTTCAGATATGCTGAGAGAAGCCCATTGTTTATTGAATTGAATAAGTCTTTACAGCTTACCATCAGACAACTGAGCTAAAACATTTTTGAAAACAAAGCCTCAAAACAAGCCTTATCTGCTGTGCTTTCTCTTTGGCTAACCCTTTGGGTTTATTAAATGTTAAGTATGTACTGTATGTGTGTATATACAAGTTGAACTGCACATTTCTCAGAGAGCGTAGTGCATTGTGTCTGAAATATCAAACGTTTGGCAGAATTAAAGATTTTCGTTAATAACAATTTGCTAAGAGTGATGGTGTGTAGCCCACAGAAAACTTTGATGCGCACTTGACTGCAAACAGGTGGATTTTTACTGTCTGGCATGCGTTACACTTTGGCTGTTTGTCTTTCAGTGACCCCATTTGAGTATCTGTATCATGCTATATTACCTTCATGTGTTCCAATGTAGCAGAAAATGCATCTTGCAAAGCACAGCAGGCCAGCCTCCACATTTCCTCGGTAAATACAGGTCCTGCAGTTACTAATACGTATCTAAAAATAAATAAATTATCTGTGTTAATCGGTTTCAAAATCTCTGAAGTCTATTATGGTGTTTCAGAACTTCAGTCACTTCGTTTATATGAAGAACAGATCCGAATTTGATTACCTTATACAAGAACAGCCTACTCTCGAGATGGTTTCAGTGGGTTCTGCCACACAGGACACCAGAAGCTTGAATAATTCTTTCAGCATGGTGTTAATCATATTCTCATATCCAATGTCTGGAAGAAATCAGACATACAAGTATGGCAAGTAATAAGGACTAATGCTAATTAGTATATTACTGGTTACTATCGTAAGAGGGTTTGCACATGCAATATGAAAAAAAAAAAAAAAAAAAAAAAAAAAAAAAAAAAAAATCTCAGAAATTACTACTTTACATTTGTGATTCGCTCCACGAGTATGCCAATCAAACTAGATGGAAAATTTTCTGTGTTTTGTTCCAAATTCAGTCATCAGAAGGAACATTACAGACTAAAAATTTATTTATTTTAGATGCACAGCACTGCCCTGGACTACCCACACTAAATACATGTCTTATGCACCCCATGCGTCATAGGATTATGAATGTTTCCATTCACTGCACCCGAACATGTATTACAATAACCTGCGACACAGAAACATATACACATTATAAAAATTAACCTTTGCCTGAATTAAAATGTACCTGAATTTATAAAACTTTGGATATGTTCCACTACTAGTTCACAAGACAAACCAATCGCATGTTTAAAGTTGGCAGATGCTGCATCCCAGTATGAATGGTCACCCTGGCTGCGGCTCAGCCACATGGACATCACAGGCAGTAAAAGATGCACCACTGCATAAATTGCAAAGCCTGGACCTACAAGACAAAGAACATTTGAAAAAAATCACATAGTGTAAAGCTAAACGCTAACTCTAGGAATAATCATGTTAAAATTTACATTGGGCAAGCTTGGTTACCTGTAATTACTGATATGCTACATCCAAAGGGCTGCAGGGGAGTCTCAAAATCACCACAGTAGTCTGCCATATGTAAAAAAGTGCTCTACAATGGGGTGCAGGAGCGATTTTCCCTCTGGTACATTGAAGGCAGAGGTGCTTGCTCGGCACCTCCACTATCCAAATAAATGGCTTGTATTCTTTTCAGTGAATACAAGGAGTTCTCTGATTGGACAAGGAGGGATCTATGACGTCATTGGTAACCAAGTTGTTCCAATGTAGATTTTAAAAATAGATTCCTGGGGTTTTGTTTTTTTTAAGGTATAAACTTTCCTGAGAAATACGACTTAAATTAAACCTCATATTTATTCTGGGATTTTCAGTTTGTTTGTTTTTTTTCCCACAAACAATTTTCTAACTCCTAGAAAAGGATCAAATGCAGGAAGACCGACAGATTGTGAATGCATGAGTAGAGGTTATACCAAACCTTATGTAACCAAGAAATAAAATTACCTGGCACTTTAGCAACTTCCCTCAACAGCTCAAAGAGTAAATCCAGAGTAGGTGGTTGATGCTGGCGTGGACAGTTGGACACAGCAGCAGTCAGCTGCTCCAGAAGATTAATCCATACATCAATAAGACCTAATAGAAAAAAAGCACAGGACAATTGCAAATACAAAGAAGGAATTATTCAGCAGTAGATCTCTGGAGACTCAAACATTTATTATGTAGACCAATTAACTAAAAACAAAGGTTTTATAAATACATACAGTGGGGAAAATGATTTGACCCCCTGCAGATTTTGTAAGTTTGCACACTTACAAAGAAATTAAGGGGCATATTTTAAATGTTAGAGACAGAATATCAACCAATAATCCTGAAAAAACACATTATACAAATGTTATATGTTAGTTGCAGTTCAATGAGTAAAAATAGTATTTGATCCCCAAGAAAAACATGACATAGTACTTGTTGGAGAAACCCTTGTTGGCAAGCACAGCAGTAAGAGGTTTCTTGTAATTGGTAGCAATTGGTAGCATTGTAATTGGTAGCAGTAAGATGTTTCTTGTAATTGGTCCACTCTTCTCTAAATCCTTAAGGTTTTTTGGCTGTTGCTTGGCAACTCGAAGTTTCGGCTCCCTCAATAAGGTCTGGAGACTGGCTAGGCGACTCCATGACCTTATTGTGCTTCTTGAGCCACTCTTTTGTTGCCTTGGCAGTATGTTTTGGGTCATTGTCATGCTGAAAGACCCATCCATGACCCATCTTCAGTGTTCTGGCTGAGGGAAGAAGGTTCTCATCCAAGATTTTACAAAACCTGGCCCCAGCCATTGGCCTCTCAATGCTGCAAAGTTGGCCTGTACCTTTAGCAGAGAAACAGTCTCAAAGCATAATAATGTTTCCACCTCCATGCTTGACTGTAGGGATGGTGTTGTTAGGGTCATAGTCAGCATTTTTCTTCCTCCAAACATGGCGAGTTGAGTTAATGCCAAAGAGCTCAATTTTGGTCTCATCAGACCACAGCACTTTCTCCCAGTCCTTCTCTGAATCATTTAGATGTTCATTGGCAAACTTCAGACAGGCCTGTACATGTGCCTTCTTGAGGAGGGGGACCTTGTGGGCACTGCAGGATTTAAATCCATGGTGGCATATTGTGTTACCAATGGTTTCTTTGGTGACTGTGGTCCCAACCTCCTCGAGACCATTCACAAGCTCCTTTTGTGTAGTTCTGGGCTGATCCCTCACTTTTCTCATGATCATCCTTACCGCATGAGGCAATCCCCATGGGATTACATGCATCTCCAGACTGAGGGCGACTAATGGTTATTTTGTTTTTCTTCCATTTGCAAACAATCCCTCCAACAGTTGTCTCCTTCTCACCAAGCTTCATGCTGATGGTCTTGTAGTCCTTCCAGCCTTGTGCAGGTCCACAATCTTGTCCCTGACCTCCTTTGTCAGCTCTTTGGTCTTGCCCATGATGGTGAGGTTTGAATGGAAGAAAGGGATTTTGTGGACAGGTTCCTTTTATACACATAATGAGTTGTATTTAGGAGCACCTTCTTAAAATTGACAGGACTAATCTGTGTACCATATGAGCAGATAGCCAGTCTGTGGGAGCCAAAATTATTGTTGGTTTGTAGAGGATCAAAACACTTATTTTACTCACTGAACTGCAACTCAATTTATAACATAACATTTGTATCATGTGTTTTTTCTGGATTTTTGGTTGATATTCTGTCCTATCATTTAAAATACACCTATGATACAAATTTTAGAGCCTTCATTTCTTACAAAATCTGCAGGGGATCAAACAACTATTTTCTCCACTGTACCTTTATTATGTTAGATTGGATGATAAAAGATAATAACCCCCCCAACATAGCACAATATTGGCACACATCCGTCAAGGTATACACAATAAAAGCAAGCATTTGAAACACAGTAGATATATTGGGAATGGTCTACTAAGGACAAATAGGTCGTTCACTTTTCAAGGTAAGCTGCACTTGGCAAGGAAATTTGTCAATAGACACACAGAGCTGGCTCAGGAGTGAGCATGCACGAGTAACCTCATAGCAAGCGGCATGCTATGGGGGCACTCGGTGGGGAGAAAAAGGGACAGGAGTGCCAGCGGGGAACCTGAGAAGAGGAGGGTTGGGGCTGCTCTGTGCAAAAGCACTGCACAGATCAGGTAAGTATAACATGTTGTTTTTAAAAAAAATAAATTTTCACCTTTAAAATTACTTTAATGAATGTGGTGAAGTTTCACTTTACAAAGAATACCCAATCACAGGCAAGAAAAAAAAAAAAACAGCATTTTAACTTGCACATGATTAATCAATGTAACTGTCAGATAGTAGTGAATAAAATTCTTATTTTCAAATACATTTTCTATTATACCTACACGTTTGCAATAGAAACAGACAATTTTAATTTGATCTTCTCTGGTGTTTGAAATTTGTTGTTAACTCCATTTTCAAAACTTTCTAATGCTTTTACAAATTTGCATGAAATTTTAATAATTCACTCACCAGTCTCATCATCAAACTCTGATAACACTGCATCAATGCCATCTTCACTACTTGCTGATCTTTCCTGGACACGTCGTGGCAAACTGTTGAGACGTCCACATAAGAAGACTGGCTTCATCGGCATCTTGTATATTTTTGCCAGTAACTGCAGAAAGCAAGTATAATATAGATATAATAAACAATCTATATAAATATTATATACATATAACCAAACTGAACTTTATAAATCAGCAGGATAATGCATCAGGTCTACTGAAATAATGAGCTGGGATACGTTAAAGAGAAGTATGACAAAAGCGGTTTTGGTCATACTTCTTCTATTGTGGGTCACAGAAGTGCTGAAGCATCAGCTGTCATCAGATGTCACAGAGCCACTCCAGACTCTGGAAGAATCCTGACAATAATGCCAGCATCCACCCAAATGCCTGACTGGCAGCGGCACAGCCTCTCAGTGCTGAGAGCCTCAGCCAGCTGCTCCCACCCCCTCTGCTGCCTGGCACTCCAGTAAGCACTGGAGGGTCAGAGCAGAGTGGTGACTGTCACTGCTCTCTGCTCAAAGCAGAAAGAGAACAGAGCGATCAGTGATCATGTGATTCTCTGGGCTAGAGTCGGTGGGGGGACAGCTGCAGCATCAGACCGATGCTGCAGCAGGGAGATAAGAATGTCTGTTTTTTACTATTCCTACACTTCTCCTTTAACTTGTCTTTAGTGTAATAGAGAGTGACATGTATTAAGAACTAAAGTTGATGCTTGGGATTATCTAGTGATGGACTATTAGAACTAGAAAATAAAATAATGAGTGGCCGAATAGACTTTTTGTTTACATGACTGGCCTTGTTGTCAATGTTTCTCAGATAGGTCACAACCACACAGCAGGAGCAATGACTGAAAGTTTGTGGCAATACAACAATACATCCCATTCCTTTTTCATACAGAATAATTAGAATGTTCTCATTAAACACATAGGGGGAATTTTTAAAAACTGGAGCAGACAGAATCTGGGGCAGCTTTGCATAGCAACCAATCAGCTTCTAGCTTCATAGTATTTTGCTGGAAAGTTCCAGTCAATGTGTATTCTGTGACCAGAGGCACCCGGTAATATTTTATTATGATAATTCTTAAGCTTCAGATCTCGTGATTTGAAATCGCAGGCAGGATCACCAAGATTCTGCCTGTGATTCCAAATTGCAACAGAATGCATGACACGCCTTTGGGTGCCATTATCCTTTAATGGCACCCCAATAACAATGTAATTCTGTCATGATTGTCTCGCAGCAAAACGTGAGTTTAAAAATCAGCAGGAACTTCTTTTGGGTGACAAACATGCATAGGGCAGTCCATTGAAGTGAATGGGCTGCTCTATGCAAAAAAACTGAAATTGTGATAAATTACAAATCGAGAGTGGGAATGATTGTTCCCGCTATGCGATATGTGAACAGGGCCTTGTACTTACGGAAGGAATATTTAACATGGAAAAAAAATGGCATTTGGCAACCAGATACTTGTACATACAGAGATTGAATAAAAAATATGAAAGCACTACACGATTTGCAGGTGTGATAAGACAACTAGCTAACCGGTGGGAAGCCTCACTTTTGTCATTCACTGTGTGCGCTGCTAGTAATATGGAGTCATGTCAGAGCTTACTGCATTTCAAAGAGGGCAAATTGTTGGTGCCTGCTTAGGTGGTACCTCTGTAACTGAAGTTGCCAATTTTTTTGCTTTGTCGTGAGGTACAGTATCAAAGATTATGATAGCATATAGTTTCCAGGAAAACGTCATCTGTAGAAACAAGCACGGTTGACATGGTCAACTGACAGAAAGAGACAAAAGAACATTGCACAGGATTGTGACCCGGAATAAGAAAAAAACTGCTACAACAGTGATTGCAGAGGTCAATCTCAGTCTTCAAAAGCCTGTGTCCAGAAAAAATTTGCAGTGGAAACTCCATAGGCAAAACACTCACGGGCGAGCTGCAATTCCCAAAGCATTAAGGACTGATATTAATATTCAAAAGAGGAGAGAGTGGTGCAACATCCATAAATCGTGGAATATCGATCAATGGAAGACAGTAATATGGTCTGATGAATCGAGCTTCACTGTTCCCAACCACAGGACTTGTTTACGTGTGGCAAACACCGTCCTACTTACCCGGCTTAGGACCAGGACTGTCTTGTGGCAATGGTAAAAGCATGGTGCCAGCGCAATCATGGTTTGGGCAGCCACATCTTGGTATTCTGCAGGCCCCATCACCACCTTTCAAGGTGGTGATGGGTCAGCCAAAATGTATAAATTATGGCCGACCAAGTGCACCCCATGGTGTAGACATTGTTTCTCAAAACAGCGCCATTGACCAAGATGATAATGCTCCGATTCTGACAGCTGATGTTGTCAAATCGTAGTTTGATGAGCATGCAAATTCTTGCATTTCCCAGCGCCGCAGTCAACGGACCTCAATATTATAGAGCCACTATGGTCAATTATGGAGAACAAGGTTGTTTTCCGCCTCCTGCATCTCTGCAAGAACTGGAACTTTCTTGCATGAAGAGTGGCATCAGATTCCATTATCCAACATTCAAAACATATTTGTCAATTCCCAGGAGAATTCAGGCCGTCTTGGATGCCAAAGGAAGTCCAACACCATATTAGGTAAGGAATTTGTTTTTACCTGGAGTTTCTATAATTTTGTCAAAGCCCTGTATATATTATGCAATGTTCAGACTAGCTACAAGCATATTAAGACAGTAGCTCTTCAGTGTCATAAATGTAAGTTAATAGCATTTAACCTGTGAACACCGCCTCAGATAGTCAAGAGCTGGAAGGCATAGGTCTGTGGATGATGATGATGCTGACGCACAGTCTCCAATTTCTTTACAATCAGCCTCACCTGAAAGAAAGAAATATTTTTGGATATTAATCTTTAATAGTTTTTTCAATAATTGCCCAAACAGTATGCTAGACATACTTTACTTTAGCAAAAGTGGGAAACAAAAGTATAAGCAGGGGAATAAAGAAATTACTTCTAAGTAAATATCTTTACATAACATGCTTTACTGAATACATAAGTGAATGACATTAACCAAAACGTCTACCATGTAGAGCTGTATGAAAATGGTATTGAACGCTTTGGAATTAACTAGATTTCTGCTAGAAAGTATAACAATTTTTCTAGAATAGTACAAGCAATTAACAAAAAACAGAAGAACTAAAGCACTGCTATCACTAGGAGTAAGGAATATGGAAAGGCAGAAGGAAATGGTAAAAGGCCTGGAAAAATCTCTTGAACTAGAAAGTCAACAAGCAAGTATGGTGCTCATGAACTGATACCCTGAAGGAAGTCTTTGCTTTAAAAAATACAACACATCGCTGCATACAGTTGAGTCCATATATATTTGGACACATGCACAATTTTAGTTTTTACCAAAACATATTCAAGCTATTGTTATGTAATGTGGACTGAAAATGCATACTCAGGTTTAATTTGAGGGTATGTACATCCAAACTGGAGGAAGAGTTTAGGAATTACAGTTCTTAAGAGTAGCCATCCCCCCTTTTTTTAAGAGACCAAAAGTAATTGGACAATTGAATCAAAAGTGGTTTCATGGCCAGGTGTGGGCTACTCCATTATTTATTCATCAATTAAGCAGGTAAAAGGTCTGGAGTTGATTCTAAGTGTAGTATTTACATTTGGAATCTATTGCTGTGAACCTACATCATGTGTTCAAAGGAGCTAGCCATGCAAGTGAAACAGGCCATTGAAAGGCTTCAAAAACTAAACAAATCCATCAGAGAGATAGCAGCAACATTAGGAGTGGCCAAATCAACAGTTTGGTACATTCTGAAGAAAGAAGAACGCACTGGTGAGCTCAGCAACATAAAAAGGCATGGATGTCCACGGAAGACAACAGTGGTGGATGATCGCAGGATCCTCTCTATGGTAAAGAAAAACCCATTCACAACATCCAGACAAGTGAAGGACACCTTCCAAGAGTTGGGCGTATCATTGTCAAAGTCTACAATCAAGAGAAGACTTTATGAGAGCAAATACAGAGGGTTCACCACACGGTGTAAAAACCATTCATAAGCCTGAAGAATAGAAAAGCCAGATTAGACTTTGCCAAAAAACATCTAAAAAAGCCAGACCAGTTCTGGAAAAGCATTCTTTGGTCTGATGAAACTGAGATTAAACTGTAACAGAATGATGGGAAGAAAAAAAAAAAAAAAAAAAGTGTGGAGAAGGCTTGGAACAGCTCATGATTCAAAGCACACAACCTCATCTGTAAAACATGGCAGAGGCAGTGTGGTGGCATGGGCACGCATGGCTCCCAGTGGCACTGGGTCATTGGTGTTTACTGATGACGTGACAGAAGACAGAATCAGCCGGATTAATTCTGCAGTGTTTAGAGATATACTGCCAGCCCAGATTCAGCCAAATGCAGCAAAGTTGATTGGACGGTGCTTCACAGTACAGATGGACAATGATCCAAAACACACTGCAAAAGCAACCCAGGAGCTTTTGAAGGAAAATAGGTGGAATATTCTGTAATGGCCGAGTCAATCATCTGATCTCAACCCAATTGAGCATTCATTTCACTTGCTGAAAGCGAAACTAAAGGCATAAAGTCCCACAAACAAAGAACTGAAGACAACTGCAGTTAGATCCTGCCAAAGCATCAGAAAGGAGGAAACCCAGTTTTTAGCAATGACTTCAGGCAGTCATTGCCAGTAAAGGATTATGAACAAAATATTAAAAATGCACATTTTATTTATGATTATATTCAAATGTCCAGTTATTTTTGGTCCCTTGAAAAAGGGGGGATTCCTACTCTTAAGAGCTGTAATTCCTAAACCCTTCCTCTAATTTGGATGCACATTTCCCCAAATTAAATCTGATAGTGTGCACTTTCAGCACATATCCATTATATAACAATAGCTTGAATATGTGTTGGTAAATAAATTTTGCCTGTGTCCAAATATACATGGGTCTAACTGTATAACAACAGATTCCTAAAGACAAACATCCACAAACAGTAGATGAGACAAACATTTTATTTGAAGCCAAATAATCCAATAAGCACCATAACTTTATCTCAGCCATGAAACATTGTGAAAAGGAAATAATTATTTAAGACTTCTTTGCTGCCTCTTGGACTTTACTTCTCTACAGGAGAAACAAAATAATTCCATATGGTATTAAAAAAATTGTACTGTTTATATTACAGTGAGTCTGGGTCCCAGCAAGGCTTGCCAGTGGCAGGGCTATAGTTGTGGATTTCCAATTAAATAAGTAAATAAGCATAGGAATCTACCATTATGATGTAGGTATCAGAATTTTAATTCAGTGCTTGAAATGGTAAGTATTAAGAATTATACACAATTTTAATACATACACAAAATACTGTACAAATGTACACTATATTGCCAGAAGTATTGGGACACCCCTCCAAATAATTGGATTCAGGTGTTCCAATCACCTCCATGGCCACAGGTGTATAAAATCAAGCACCTAGGCATGCAGACTGCTTCTACAAACATTTTTTGAAAAAATAGGTCGCTCTCGGGAGCTCAGTGAATTCAAGTGTGGTACTGTGATAGGTTGCCACCTGTGCAATGAGTCCATCCATGAAATTTCCTTGCTACTAAATATTCCACAGTCAACTGTTAGTGGTATTATAACAACGTGGAAGCAACTGGGAACAGCAACTCAGCCACGAAGTGGTACGCCACGTAAAATGACAGAGCAGGGTCAGCACTGCCTGCAGAGTCAATAGCTAAAGACCTCCAAACTTCATGTGGCCTTCACATTAGCACAACAGTGCATAGAGAGCTTCATGGAATTGGTTTCCATGGCCAAGCAGCTGCATCCAAGCCTTACATCACCAAGTGCAATGCAAAGCGTTGGCTGCAGTGGTGTAAAGCACACTGCCACTGGACTCTAGAGCAGTGGAGATGTGTTCTCTGGAGTGACGAATCACGTTTCTCTATCTGGCAATCCGATGGATGTGTCTGGGTTTGGCACTTGCCAGAATGGTACTTACCTGACTGCATTGTGCCAAGTGTAAAGTTTGGTGGAGAGGGGATTATGGTTTGGGGGTGTTTTTCAGGGGTTGGACTAGGCACCTTAGTTCCAGTGACGGGAACTCTTAAGGCATCAGCATACCAAGACATTTTGAACAATTTCATGGTCCCAACTTTGTGGGAACAGTGTGGGGATGGCCCCTTCTTGATCCAACATGACTGCACACCAGTGCACAAAGCAAAGTCTATAAAGACATGGATGAGCGAGTTTGGGGTGGAGGAACTTGATTGGCCTGCACAGAGTCCTGACCTCAATCTGATAGAACACCTTTGGGATGAATAAGAGCGGAGACTGGGAGCCAGGCCTTCAAGTCCAACATCAGTGCCTGACCTCACAAATGTACTTCTGGAACAATGGTCAAACATTTCCATAGACACACTCCTAAACAGCCTTCCCAGAAGAGTGGAAGCTGTTATAGCAGACTCAATATATGCCATTACAGTTCATGTGCTTGTAAAGGCAGGAGTCCCAATACTTTTGGCAATATAGTGTATATCTATTTGTGGGGTGCAGGATTGTGCAAGATGTATATATGTGTCACTTTCTCATATACACATGGTGTGGGGTTCAAGGGTTTGTGGCTGTTGTGGAGAAAACAAAAATGTTTTTTTTGTGTTTTTCAGAAACTTCATAATTTCTTTTTTTGGTCTCAGGAAGTTGAAGGGTTTTTGGGTAGGAATATATCTCCATTCCTAGTTCCTCATCTTAACTGGGAGCCAGACCTCATTTTTAGTATCAGCAGTCCACAGGCCTGTCTGTATGTGAGCCCTGACACTTCGGGCTCTCTCTCTCTGCTGTGAAAGCCTGCTGCTATGTGAAAAGGCCAAGTGCTGACATAACATTAAAAAGGTACATGTAGTGCTTGTTTTATGAAACCCACTTGTGGGCACCTGGTTAGTCATGAACTGACCTGAGTTTAATTAGTAACATACTACACACACACTTTTTTTTTTTTTACCATACACAACTTTTGAAGCATTACAAAATAATTATATTCTGAATTTTGGTCAAAGACTCTTAAATATTGCAATATAAAAACACATAAATATTTAAACCGCACAAATTGCTGAGAGCTGATGTTGAGCCTAAAAACACTTATCAGCTTTCATAAGAATTATAAGTCTCCTGTGCATAACATTGGTTGTGGTTCTAAAGAGGAATGAAGTGTACCTAATCCCTTGACAAATTTCATAAGGCACATAATGTAATCAGTGGCTGCATTAGCAAAGACTTGAATGTTGTCTGTATTCAGGAATGCTTCAACACATCGAACACTGGAGCCTGGCGTTTTCCTAGGAGACAAAGACAGACACAAATCAGTAAGCTTATGAGATAAAAAGAAGGCATTTACTATTAGATCAAAAAGAACAGAACAGAGAAGCAGACCCCTATCAAAAAGTAGATGGTAATATTTAAAGATCTCTTAGTGATTAGATCACTATCAGGCATTTCACTGGGCATTGCTTGCAATGACGCGTCTGCATGGATCTGCTGGTGAGGTTGGCAAGGTAAGACTGGACTAAACATAAATGGAATAATGCCTATACCTACCTTACTTAGTCGCTCCAGTTTAGTCACATGATCTCCCAGCGGTGGCTTCAGTTTATAGGAGAAAGGGGAGGACAGTGACAACAGCTTACTATGGAGACATGGGGTATAGGGACTACACTAAAGCAGGTGCTGGGACCCGGTCATGTGACAAGACCGAAGTAACTTCAGAATAGGTAAGTATTTGGAACTCAGAGAAAGACAACAATATTCTCTTGACTTACATAAGGGCCTATTCACTGAGCTGTGCTGTGTTAATATTTGTTGTGTTCAGACAGCCCATTCATTTTGGGTATATAATGTATATTGAAATCCACGTCTGGGAATTATCTATAGTAACTGCCACCAAAATGCATATAATAAATCAAAAGAAATGCATAAAAATAAAAATCAGATTAGAATAATTCTTCCCCCCTGGGAAGATGCAAATGTATACGTAGATTCTCACCACATAACAATAAACATGTGAACTCCTCTTCCTTTTCTTTTAAAGTAGTATTCTCTCCATGCATTATCTCCTTAAATCATAATAGAATTTAAGTATTAATCTCACAAAAAAAGTGCAACTAATGTGCGAACTTATCCATCACGTGACAACATTCCAATATCTGTCATTCTTACTCTTACCCTTCAATCCAAATTTTATTGCTTCTACATAAATCTTGCAACCCTTTTTTTTTTTTTTTTCTTCTTTACTTCTTAACTAGTTGCCGACCGCCGCAGATAGCCGAATGACGGCTGCACTGCAGCCGGCCAGTTCTGGGTGGATGTCATATGACTTCCCCCCAGAACGCGCTCTCCTGCGCGCCCCAGGGGTGCGCACCCGGCGATCTCCGTGATCGCTGTGTCCTACGGACACAGCTGATCACGTGATGTGGTAAATGGCCAATCATACCGGAATTTACCACGTGATCAGCGGTGTCCAATGACACGCTGATCACAGGGAAATGCAAGTGCCGGTTCTCGGCTGCACTTTCCTCACGCTGTCAGAACCGGCAGTTGTCAGAGCGAGGATCGGCACCGATCAGGGCACTGATGATCAGTGCCCTGATGATCGGTGCCCAGCAGTGCCACCCACAAGTTCCGCCCACCTGTGCCCAGCAGTGCACCCACCTGTGCCCAGCAGTGCACCCACCTGTGCCCAGCAGTGCACCCACCTGTGCCCAGCAGTGCACCCACCTGTGCCACTCTGCAGTGTCACACACCTGTGCCCAGAAGTGCCACCTACCTGTGCCCAGCAGTGCCACCCACCTGTACCCACCTGTGCCCACCCACCAGTGCTGCCCACCAGTGCCACCCACCAGTGCAGCCCAGCGGTTGTGCCAGTCAGTGCCACCAGTCAGTGCCCAGCGGTTGTGCCAGTCAGTGCCGCCAGTCAGTGCCCAGCAGTGATACCAGTCAGTGCCGTCTATCAGTACCCATCATCAGTGTCACCTATTAGTGCCGCCTATCAGTGCTGCATATTAGTGCCGCCTATCCGTGACACCTCATTAGTGCTGTCTATCAGTGCCGCCTATCCGTGCCACCTCATTAGTACTGCCTATCAGTGCCCTTTAGTGCTGCCTATCAGTGCCCATCAGTGCCGCCTATCAGTGCCCATCAGTGCTGCCTCATCAACGCACATCAGTGAAGGAGAAAAATTACCTGTTTGAAAAATTTTATAATAGAAACAAAGAAACTTTTTTTTTTTCACATTTTTTGCACTTTTTTTTTATTTATAGCGCAAAAAGTAAAGCGCCCAGTGGCGATTAAATACCACCAAAAGAAAGCTCTATTTGTGAGAAAAAAATAATCAAAATTTCATATGGGTACAATGTTGCATGACCGCGCAATTGTCAATCAAAGTGCGGCAGCGCTGAAAGCTGAAAATTGGCCTGGTAAATAAGGGGGTATAAGTGCCTGGTAGGCAAGTGGTTAATGCAATTCTCCCAAAAAAAACAAAATATTCATATAGAACTAAAGAAGAGAAAAAAAGATTGCAAGATTTATGTAGAAGAAAGAAAAATTGGATTGGAGGGCAAGAGTAAGGATGACAGGTACTGGAATGTTGTCATGTGGTGGACAAGTTGACACTTTTTTCTGAGTTTAATACTTACATTCTATTATGATTTAAGGAAATAATGCACTATAGGCGTTTTTTTTTTTTAATATTTTTTGCATGAGGAGAGAATACTACTTTAAAAGAAGAGGAATCTATGGAGAGTTGAAGACAATCTTGTAGTATAAAACAATCCCATATGACTGTAAAAGGAGACTCATTATTTTATGGTGGACTTGTACGCTGGATTCTAATTTGGGGTGTCTAATGCATCACATTACACCAAAAAAGATGGAAGCATAATTTTTCCCAGCACATCACAAAACAATGCTTGTTAGTAAAGGTACATTAAGATGTGAATGAATGGCACTTCGCCAAAACTCTTGACTCACCCATGGAGTATTCTCCTACAAGATATTCCTTAATATCTGACTTGCTGCTGTGTACAGTCTCCAAAGCACTGAAGAGAGGCCTCCATCCCGATTGAATCTGAGGAGAACACACTTCCACCAGTTCTCCAATGGATGTAATCACCTGAATTAGTCAATAATAAAAAAAACAAACAAACAGTTTATCATTCAGGAACAATGACAAGCCTCAAAGATTTATTTTACCAAAAGTGCAGTAATTTGAAAATTGCACAATATGATAGATAATGGATACAGATACATTGCTGACTATTTACAGCCATAGAAAGTACACCATTTTACAGTGTCCAAATGAATGCATTGTCAAATGTAGCTGCTCTAAAAGTCAAATTTAACATAACAGAATATGTATATTAGAGTAGCATAGGAATATATGTAGCATTATTGCAGTATTACAAAATGGTCTCTATTTATACAGATTTTCCAGTCTTACCAAGCCCACGGTACTAATGCAGGCCATAAATGGGTTATCGACCGAATTTTCGTCCACACGAAAAACATCTGCCGATATTCACGCCGTTAGTGGGCAATGACGTCGGTCGTTTTTTTTCGTGGATCTTCTCGTTTCTTTTTATCGGTCATGCTGGAAAATCCACGAAAACCGGCCTTTTTTTGTGGACATTGGTGGCAGCATCGGCAATGACCGATTTTTCGTTTTACCGGCCGACAATTCGGCCGATAAACGGCCTGTCTATGGCCAGCCTTAAGCCCATGAAGGCAAACAAACACAACCACCATATCCACGGTGTGATAAGCTGCAATACGTTTACATTTTTGTTCCTGGTTTTAAATACACTTAAAATTTTACTCAACTAAATCTTCTCATTGTCTTACTTATACCTCTTCTGACTTTTTGGTGGCCTTTATAGTTTCATTCATACTTTCCCTAAACCCCATTTATCTCCTTCTAAATTATTACTAATGTATGCTTCAATGCATAAGGAAAAAAAAAAACATGTTTATGAACAAAGCATTATAGCAAGCCAGTCCTCTGGTTTTAAAGATTTTGAATTTTACAAATAAAAGTATTCATGAAAACAGACCTATATCCTATTGAATAAGGCGGTGTAAAGAGTGGTGACAATGTTCAAAGAGCAATAATGAATCCATCTTGCTGCAGATTAGTAAAAGATGAATAGTGATTGGGAGCTATGGGTTCATTCACTTTCCACATTGCATTATGCCTTAATAAAGAAAGAATCTGAAAATTCAGTCCTGAATTTATTCTAATAATTCAGCCCTATTCATGAAAGGATTAATAATTTGCCGAACTTTGAGCCTGACAGCTTGGAGTTGCACAGTTACAGAGTTAATCTGGTTGTAAAAAACACACTATTCCATCTAGTTCAACCACAAGAATAAAAGTGTAAAATAATACCCCCTAATGAACACAAAGTTGATGTTACAGAAACCTGCAACCAGTTTTCCATCCTGCTCACATGCAGCTCTTTTTCTGTTTCTATGCAACACTGCTCAGCTGAGGTGCATAGAAATTAATAAAATGTCATAACAGGACATCTCAATGAAGTAAAAAAAAAAAAAGTGATAGTGCTATGGACTGCTATGGGCTGCTTTCACACTGAGGAGTTTTTGTGTTTATAAAAAGCACCTGAAAAGCTCAAGAAAAATGCTTCCCTATGTATGGAACGCCCCTTGAGGGTTAGGGACTGATGTGAATGTACAATATATATGTAAAGCGCTGCGGAAATTGACGGTGCTATATAAGTACCTGTAATAAGTAAATGTATATCTATGTATGTTTTCACACTGAGGCGTTGCGCTTGCGGTGCAAAAACTTTTGCTTGCAGCATCTTTGGGGCATGTTTGGGGAGTTAAAAAAAAATGCCTCAAAAAAGCCTCTGGGAAGCATTTTGAATGCAGTTTTTAAGTCACGTGTCTTTTAAAAATGCTCAGAAAGCACGGCCTATGCGTTTTTGCAGCAGATCAGCGCGAATGTAGCCTTATTCCTGGCTAAAATGCCAGCCAGATTTAACAATGACAGCAGTAAGTCTTCATTTTTTTTTTACATTGTTACAATTTTATGGTTGTTTGAAGTGGTAATATATTTGTAGATCAAAGTTTGTTGCCGTGGCCAGTCTTATGCCCCCATACAAGTATAGACTATCAGCCAAAATTCGTTTTTGAAAAGATCTTTCGACATTCGTGCCGTTAGTGGACTCAACGTTACAGCCAATTTCGAAAGTAGGCCCGGCTAATGTCGATGGAACAGAAGCGAAAACGTTCGTTTCAACCAAAAGTGTATATGTTTATGTGTTAATCGAAACGAAAAATCCCCTGTCTAGTATTGCCCATGTCTTTTGGTGAACCAGAAGAATCTTTGAACGAACTTTATTCTATGTGTTTAGTAGACAAGTCGTCGAGAGACGAATAGTCGTTCACACTGTAAATGGCCGATATTCTATGTGTATGGCCAGCGTTAGGTGGTTGGGAACTGGGAGACCATATGTGAAATCAGGCTAAAGAGAAGGCTTAATTGTCCTCTAACCCTTGGCACTAATGCAAAAATGCAGGCACATCAATGTAAATTGCAGCTACAGTTGTGACCAAAATTATTCAACCCCCACTGAAATTGAGTGTTTTGGCCAGTTTGACATTGCTTTTGATCATTCAGTCATCTTGCTTACATTTACATTAAAGAGGCACTTGTAGGTCAGACAAATATATAACATAACAGTTATAATGAAATAACCACAAATGTCTTTTCTGTGCTCACAGCATTATCAGTTTTATTCAACCCCCAAGTGACATTCAATCTTAGTACTTAGTACAGCATCCTTTTACAGTTATAAACAGCTTTTAAACGTGAAGCATAGCTTGACACAAGTGTCTTGCAGCGATCTACGGGTATCTTCGCCCATTCTTCATGGGCAAAGGCCTCCAGTTCAGTCACATTCTTAGGCTTGCGCACTGCAACTGCTTTCTTTAAGTCCCACCAGAGGTTCTCAATCGGATTTAAGTCTGGTGACTGCGATGGCCACTCCAAAATGTTCCAGCCTTTCCTCTGCAACCATGCTCTAGTGGACTTGGAGGTATGCTTGGGATCATTGTCCTGTTGAAAGGTCCAACGTCTCCCAAGCCTCAGGTGTGTGACGGACTGCATCACGTTTCCATCCAATATCTCCTGGTACTGAAGAGAATTCATGGTACCTTGCACACACGCTGAAGCTTCCCTGTACCTGCAGAAGCAAAACAGCCCCAAAGCATGATTGACCCTCCACCATGCTTCACAGTAGGCAAGGTGTTCTTTTCATCATAGGCCTTGTTCTTCCTCCTCCAAACATAGCGTTGATCCATGGGCCCAAACAGTTCTAATTTTGTTTCATCAGTCCACAGAACACTATCCCACAACTTTTGTGGTTTGTCCACATGGCTTTTGGCATACTGCAGTCGACTCTTCTTATTCTTTGGAGACAGCAAGGGGGTACGCCTGGGAGTTCTGGCACGGAGGCCTTCATTACGCAGTGTGCGTCTTATTGTCTGGGCTGAAACTTCTGTACCCACATCTGACAAATCTTTTCTCAGTTCCTCAGCAGTCACACGGGACTTCTCTCCACTCTACGCTTCAGGTAGCGCACAGCAGTCGAAGTCAGCATCTTCTTTCTGCCACGACCAGGTAGCGTTTCAACAGTGCCCTTTGCCTTGAATTTGCGAATGATGCTTCCTAAGGTGTCTCTTGGTATGTTTAACATCTTTGCAATCTTCTTATAGCCATTGCCCTTCCTGTGAAGAGAAAAACACCTCTTCTCTTGTCTTCCTGGACCATTCTCTTGCCTTCACCATGTTTGTAACCACACCAGTAAATGTCTAGAAGGAGCTGAGTATCACAGTCATTTTAAAGCTGCCTAATTGGTGCTTATTATGCTTGATTGCTGCTCGGTGACATCCACAGGTGTTTTCAATACCTGATGGAAAGCACCTGTATGAACCTCTGTTCTTCAGAGTGGTAGTCTTTAAGGGGTTGAATAATTGTGGCAATGAAGAAACCACATAAGAACCATTTACTACTGTATTACATAAACAATTGATGTCATTTTAGTTGCATTTGGGTAGTTACAACGTCCTTGTAGGATTTGATTCTGAATACAATTCCAAATGTACACTATAGTCCCTAAACCCCTTTACAGCATTGGGGGTTGAATAATTTTGGTCACAACTGTAAATAACAGGGCAAATATAAAAATTCAGCCTTAACGATGAAATACTATATTTGTGCCTAAGCCCATTTGTGGCCAGGGTTCTTTTTAAGGCTCTACATGTAGCATATCCAGATTTTTTAGGAAATAGTGATGTGTTGACTGTAGAAGTGTGAAACGCTGCCACCTAGTGCCAAATCTAAAATCCAAATTTGCCTTAAACTGAAAAAAAGCATAACTGAATTCATAATGTGGGCATTTTAGCATTTGGCAACGTGGTAAAATGATCTTTCATGTATTTATAGTTGTTATTAAAAATACACTGCTCAAAAAAATTAAGGGAACACTTTGAAAACACATCAGATCTCAATGAGGAAAAATATCATGCTGGATATCTATACTGATATGGAATGGGTAATGTGTTAGGAACGCAAGAATGCCCCATCGTTTGATGGAAATTAAAATTATCAACCTACAGAGGACTGAATTCAAAGACACCCTGAAAATCAAAGTGAAAAAAAAATAAAAATGATGCAGCGGGCTAGTCCATTTTACTTAAATTTCATTGCAGAAACTCAAAATGATACTTAGTAATTTGTATGGCCCCCATGTGCTTGTATGTATGCCTGACAACGTCGGGGCATGCTCCTAATGAGATGACGGATGGCGTCCTGGGGTATATTTCCTCCCAGATCTGGATCAGGGCATCACTGAGCTCCTGGACAGTCCAAGGTGAAACTTGGCGGCATCGGACTGACCGAAACATGATATCCCAGAGGTGCTCTAATGGATTTAGGTCAGGGGAGTGTGGGGGCCATTCAATATTATCAATTCCTTTATCCTCCAGGAATTGCCTGCATACTCTCACCACATGAGGCCAGGCATTGTTGTGCACCAGGAGGAGCCCAGAACCCACTGCACCAGTGTAGGGTCTGACAATGGGTCCAAGGATTTCATCCCAATACCTAATGGTAGTCATGGTTCCATTGTCTTGCCTGTAGAGGTCTGTGCGTCCCTCCATGGATATGCCTCCCCAGACCATCACTGACCCACCACCAAAATGTTCATGCTGAACAATGTTACAGACAGCATAACGTTCTCCACGGCTTCTCCAGACCCTTTCAAGTCTGTCACATGTACTCAGGGTGAACCTGCTCTCATCTATAAAAAGCACAGGGCGCCAGTGGTGGACCTGCCAATTCTGGTGTTCAATGGCAAATGCCAATCAAGCTCTATGGTGCCGGTCAGTGAGCACAGGGCCCACCAGAGGACATCGGGCCCTTAGGCCACCCTCATGAAGTATGCTTCTGATTTTTTGGTCACAGACATTCACATCAGTAGCCTGTTGGAGGTCATTTTGTAGGGCTCTGGCAGTGCTCATCTTGTTCATTCTTGCACAAAGGAGCAGATACCGGTCCTGCTGACCTTCTACAGCCCTGTCCTGCTCTCCTAGAGTAACTGCCTATCTCCTTCATGCTCTTGAGACTGTGCTGGGAGACACAGCAAACCTGGCAATGGCACATATTGATGTGCCACCCTGGAGGAGATGGACTGCCTGTGCAACCCCTGTAGAGTACAAGTATGACCTCATGTTACCAGTAGTGTCACTGGCCCTAGCCAAATGCAAAACTAGTGAAAAACAGTCAGAAAAGATGAGTGAGTAGGTAAAAAATGTCAGTGGTCTCCACCTGAAAAACCATTCCTGTTTTGGGGGTCATCTCATTGTTACCCATCTAGTGCACCTGGTAATTTCATTTTAACACCAAAGCAGCTGAAACTGATTAACAACCCCTACTAAACTGACCAGATCAATATCCCAGGAGTTTTAATTGACTTGATGCTATACTCTTTTGAGCATTTTATATAATATCAGAATTTTCCACTGGAAAAGTTAAAACCAGATGAGTAGCATAGGATTTGAATTAGCACATGTCAACGGTATGGGCTATTATGTATCAGTTCAGCGCACCTTGCCAGTGCTGTACCGTTGGAGCAAATTGCATGAAAATACACACTCATTCCATGTAACTGACATTTTTTCCCCAATATGTATGTCTGTAAGCCTGCAGGACCATTGAATAATTCTTATTACTGTGTGGCCCTATGCGATTCGAGTTGAGAAAAGCATATTAAAACAATAATATTCTGACTGTTCTGTTTTGATTATTTGTTAAACAGTTTAGCTGTCCATTAGCAGTACTTGGGAATAAACTTGCCTGATCTTGTACATCTTCATCACATAGCTCCAACTGCATAATTCGCTCAAAAGGCCGGAAAAGAGCCTCATTAAAGTGGAAATGTGGGGGCTCCTCCCAATCAGTCAGCACTTCTGTCATGATGTCATGTATGAAGGAAACCGCTTTCTTCGATACACGCCGTTCTTTGTGACAGGCTGCCTGTGTAGCAGAAAAACAGACTGTAAAATTCAGCACTACATTTACTCAATAAATCTCAAAACTTTGTCATGCATGTATTGCATCAGAAGTAGGTAAATTGATCATTCTATCTTTAGGATGTCCTATGGGGCCCCTATCTGGCTGTGTACATTTCCTTACCTAGTTACTTTACTTAAAAACATTAAAGAGAATATATTTTTTTCCTTCTTAAATTACACTCTGACAAGCAATGAGCCACTAACGTAGTAAAGGACAAACCATCACTAATGCTAGCGAGGTGTGATCCAAAAAGGCCAGGAAAGCTGGGCAATGATGACCACTGATACACCACAAACTCTGATTTCTATGTTCTGCAATCTCAAAATCCCTCTAATGGTGTCTCATAGCTCAGGATTTTTATTGGTGACATATCTGCACTTGTGTTGTGGCTATTATGAAGGGTCCCAATTCTTGCTCTTGTATTTTCATTTAAGTTATATAATGGAGAATGCAACAGGAGTAGCTGGAACACACAGAGGTGGAAAGAACACTATAAAACTCCATTACGAATATTAAAGTTTGTTACTTAATCATGCTCCATTAATGAAACATCTTTTTTTTTACCTCTACAAAATGAGGGGCCACCACACTCCAACAGCGCATGACATGAAGCAATGGACGAGATTTACTCCGGATAATACGTAGCATGACATCACCGAGGCGGAACAGATGTAAAGCACTTCTTTTGTCCTGTGTAGATTTGATTTCTCCTGTAGAACAATGGAAAAATATATTTTAATGAAGAAATCCCTTACTTTTTCCTGTAGTAGGGTCCAAGAAAATGTTAAGATTTTGGCAGAAAAATAGTTTTGAAACATATATGGTCTACCTGGCATTGCAAGAGAGTAATCCACTGTATCTGTAACTGAATGAAACAATTGTGCCTGGGAAGCCTTCTTCAGATGATAAAGGAACCCACTAAGAGCCACCAGATTGAGCTTGTCTGCAGCTCCCTCAAACAGCCTACAAAGAAAAAAAGGAATCCAGGCATCAACAGCTGAAATGTGTTCCAATATTTTCTCATGTTTGGGCTGCAAGCGATACTAAAGGCTTAATTAAAAAACAAACATGTCATGTCATACTTACCTGCTCTATGCGGTGGTTTTGCACAGAGCAGCCCGATCCTTCTCTTCTCGGGTCCCCCATGAGTGCCCCCCCTCCTGCCGGGTGCCCCTACAGCAAGCAGCTTTTCCAAAGCCACTGCTCTGTGTGTCTATTCACACATGGAGCCACAGCTCGGCCTGCCCCCCATCTCTTCTCATTTGCTCACTGGCTGTGATTGATTGCAGCCAGAGCCAATGGCTCCTGCTACTGCCCAGCCAATGAGGAGAGGGTGTCCCGGGATAGCTGAGACTACAGTGCACATCGCTGGACCAAGAGAGGGCATAGGTGAATATTTGGGGGGGGGGGGGGGTATTGGGGGCTGGCGAATATGCTGCAGAGAAAAGTTTTTTTTTTAACCACTTTAAAAACCTTCAAGAAATTTGAATTTCAGAAGAAAAAACAGCTGCTTACTTGTCTGCTTGTGTAGAGAGGGTGCAAACAGCTTTAGCAGCATTGCTTGCACTCATCAAGCTATTTCCACGGAAGTCGAAGGCTCGGCCCTTTTAGTACCTTCTTTGATAAGTTCTTGGATGGGAACTGGCTGGATGACAGGACTTTTGCCAAGAGAGGACTCCTGTTCTGGGGTATACTCTTGAGATGCATCTGCAGAAAGCCAATGTGTATCTGTAGAAACTTGCTGAGACTGAGTGATGGTCAGAGAAAGCTTTGAAGCTCCATCGCTAAAATGTGTGTGCTCCAAGGTGCTTATGTATTCACAAACCCTACAGGGTAGGAAGCAGAAAAGGTTATGAAGAGTCCATGTAGGAGAACCTGTTTTATCACACAATTTAGTAAAGCAGTTCAAAGAAATGTTCTTGTACAAAGCAGCCTATAAGCTTCTAGCCATTAAGTAAAAAACACATTTTATTGGTAGGGACAATAGAACATTTTTTTTAGAATATCGTTCAGAAATGATCTCTTTGTTTCAGGCTGAAGCAGCCGACCTGTAGCTCTGCCTGCACACAGATCTTGTCCTGTGACCAAGTCCGTTTGTCCCACCTGAAACCATCATGTTTGAGCATCAATACCCAGGGAAAGCCTCTGGTAGGTGAAAGGTATTGTATTACTTACTTTTTTTATCAGTTTAGGTTAAAGTGCAGTGGAACAATGTATAAATAGGCAAATGTTTTAATGAGACTTCATTCCATTTTAAGTAATGGCCATTGGCCATTGCAGTAAATAAATAGCTATACCTCAAACAGGACCATACCACCTTAGTAAACACTGGCTATACCTCAACCAGGACCATGTCACCACAATAAATCATTGCTAGATCTTAAGCAGCACCAAACTACCACAATAAATAATGGCCAGACCTCAAGCAGGACCAAAACAAGCATTTCTCTGGGAACAACACAGCAGCTCTCAGAGAAGTCTAAGTTGATATAAGTGATTCTTCTGCGTTCAATAGGTAAATCAACAAGGTACTGCAAAGCGCGATGGTCATGCACAGCTCATGCAGTAAACTTCAGTCATATCAGTTAAGGGGAAAAATCTGCATAGTTGCTGTATGTTACTCTACTGCATCTCATAAACAATGGTGTCTGCACTGCTCATTTAAAAGGCCAATAACGTTCACTTAAGTAGTGAACGATACATTGGACTACAGCATATGGCAGTGTTTCTCAACCTTTTTTCAGTCAAGGCACCCTTTCAAATCTGGAGGCATCCCATTCGAAAATGTAAAAAAAAAATTTACTTTTACACTTTTAAAGTTTTACATAATGCAACAACATCCCCACACGTAGGACACCCAACATTAGAGGTGATTTATTCTCCCAAAGCAAACGTACCTTTGCACACTGTTACAGACAAGTATTCCAGACTAGTATTCCAGTGCTTCCCTCACTCAGCTAATGTAACCCCAATGTTGACTAAAGGGGCAGGGGATGGCCCAACAAGAATGCTGTGCAGGCACTCAAAGTCCAATTTATGACGTCATTGGTTTTTACGACACCAGTGGTTGGAAGGTTGTAATGGTGCATATGTGGCTATGTATAACTAAAAAGCAGGTTAGATTCACCTACTGGCTTGTATACAATTGTGGGCAATTTTGTCAAGGCACACCTGAAGAAACCTGAAGGCACCCCAGGGTGCCTGGGCACTCTGGTTGCAAAATGCTGGTATATGGTGTACATTCCAGTTAAGGAACCACCATGAAAAGAAATACTTGCAAATGGCAATAGATGATAATAAACAGAACAGAATGTAAATCCTCTTCAGGCTCTCACATCTATCATACATGCAACTGAACAATGCAAGGTGCAGGGTAGCTATTATTCTGTACCTGAAGACATGTGGCCAGCAGTCTTGGTTGTGACTTCCCATCTCTAAGCCAACATTAAGTATTGCATCCATGCAGAGCACATGTGCATTATGCAGCCGATATCCTCCTTGTTTGCCTATCTGTTCCAGTTTTTGTTCCACCTTCTGCTTCACTGTTTACAAAAAAAAGAAAATACAACAAAAACATTAATACGAAATATATCATATCACCACGTATTGCTGTTTAGGACAGTAAAACCAATTTTGGTGTTTGATGTGCAATATGTACAGTTGTGTTCAAAATAATAGCAGCGTGTTGAAAAAAGTGAATAAAGCTCAAAATCTATTCCAAATCAAAACATGAAGAAAAATATATCAAATTTGTGTTGTTCCTCTAAAAAAAAATTGAAGAAAAGTGAATATTAGACTGTTCAAAAAAATAGCAGTGTTTGTATTCTTCTTTACAAACAAACATTCACTATATAAACTGAAAAATGTTTGAAGATTTTGCTTTCCTTTGAATCACTTAATTAATATTTAGTTGTATAAGCACTGTTTCTGAGAACTGCTGTACATCTGTGTTGCATGGAGTCAACCAACTTCTGGCACCTGCGAACAGGTATTCCAGCCCAGGATGATTGGACTACATTCCACAGTTCTTCTCTATTTCTTGGTTTTGCCTCAGAAACAGCATTTGTGATGTCACTCCACAAGTTTTCTATTGGATTAAGATCCAGGGATTGGACTGGTCACTCCATAACGTCAATCTTGTTGGTCTGGAACCAAGATGTTGCACGGGTGTGTTTGGGGTCGTTGTCTTGTTGGAACACCCATTTCAAGGGCATTTCCTCTTCAGCATAAGGCAGCATGACCTCTTCAAGTATTCTGATGTATTCAAACTGATCCATGGTCCCTGGTATGCGATAAATAGGCCCAACACCGTAGTATGAGAAACATCCCCATATCATGATGCTTGCGCAACCATGCTTCACTGTCTTCACAGTGTACTGTGGCTTGAATTCAGTGTTTGTGGGTCATCTGACAAACTGTCTCCGGCCACTAGACCCAAAAAGAACAATCTTACTTTCATCAGTCCACAAAATGTTGCGCCATTTCTCTTTAGGCCAGTCAATGTGCTCTTTGGCAAATTGTAACCTCTTCAGCACATGTCTTTTTTTCAACAGTGGGACTTTGCGGGGGCTTCTTGCAGATAGCTTGGCTTCACATAGGTGTCTTCTAATTGTAACAGTACTCACAGGTAACTTTAGACCTTCTTTGATCTTCTTGGAGTTGACTGTTGGCTGAGTCCTTGCCATTTTGGCTATTCTTCTATCCATTCGAATGGTAGTTTTTCGCTTTCTTCCACATCTTTCAGGTTTTGGTTGCCATTTTAAAGCATTTGCGATCATTTTAGCTGAGCAACCTATCATTTTCTGCACTTCTTTATGTTTTCCCCTCTCGAATCAACTTTTTAATCAAGGTACGCTGTTTTTCTGAACAATGTCTGGAACGACCCATTTTCCTCAGTATTTCAGAGAGAAATGCACTGTAACCAGCATGTACAACATTTGCTGCCTTCCTTCCTTAAATAAGGGCAATAATTGCCACCGGTTTCTCAAAGAATGAATGACCTCACTAACAGAACTCCACACTGCTATTATTTTGAACATGCTCCTTTCAATTAGTGATTCAATTACACAGAATCAGCAGCATGCATGTCATGACTGTTGGGTCTGTTGGATTTCTATTACTCTACTACACCTGCTAGTAAATTATTCATTATATCATTTCTACCAAAAACAGTGATTGATCAGGTTAGTGATGTCTGACTGCTATTATTTTGAACACAACTGTATATGCTTTACGTTGTTTAATCATTATAAATTCACAGATATGAACACTAACAGCATGCATGGGAAATATTTGCTGCATTAAATAAAAAAATAAGCAACGCACATCTGTTAATCTGGAACAACAGTATACCTTGTGTAAGTGTGTCACTATGTTCAGTGTTTTCCTTATCATCTTTCTCTTCTTGTACACAGGACGCTGCTGCCATTTGAGCCAGTGCTGATGCACAGTTAGCGGCAACCCCTTCAAACAAAATGCAAAAAAGTTATGAATTATAATGTTGACTGAAGCTACACTAAAGGCATCCCTAAAAAATAGTTCTGTGACCAACTGACAAATTGTCAGTCAGATCAGGTGTAAAGGTATGTTACAGTGGATATAAAGTCTACACACCCCTGTTAAAATGTCAGGTTTCTGTGATGTAAAAAAATGAGACAAAGATAATCCATTTCAGAACATTTTCCACCTTTAATGTGATCTATAAACTTTACAACTCAATTGAAAAACAAACTGTAATCTAAAATAATGTGGTTGCATAAGTGTGCACACCCTCTTATGACTGGAGATGTAGCTGTGTTCAGAATTAAGCAATCACATTTAAAATCATGTTAAATAGGAGTCAGTAAACACCTGCCATCATTTAAAGTGCCTCTTATTAACCCCAAATAAAGTTCAGCTATTCTAGTAGGTCTTTCCTGACATTTTCTTAGCTGCATCCTACAGCAAAAACCATGGACCGCAGAAAGCTTCCAAAGCATCAGAGGGATCTCATTGTTAAAAGGTATCAGTCAGGAGAAGGGTGCAATAGAATTTCCAAGGCATTAGATATACCATGGAAGACAGTCATCATCAAGTGGAGAAAATATGGCACAACAGTGACATTACCAAGAACTGGATGTCCCTCCAAAAATTGATGAAAAGACGAGAAGAAAACTGGTCTGGGAGGCTGCCAAGAGTTCTCCAGCAACATTAAAGGGGCTGCAGGAATATCTGGCAAGTACTGGCTGTGTACATGTGACAACAATCTCCCGTATTCTTCATATGTCTGTGCTATGGGGTAGAGTGGCACGACAGAAGCCTTTTCTTATGAAGAAAAACATCCAAGGCCAGCTAAATTTTGCAAAAACACATCTTAAGTCTCGCAAAAGTATGTGGGAAAATGTGTTATGGTCTGATGAAACCAAGGTTGAACTTTTTGGCCATAATTCCAAAAGATACTGTATGTTTGGAGCAAAAACCACACTGTACATCATCAAAAGAACACCATACCCACAGTGAAGCATGGTGGTGGCAGCATCATGTTTTGGGGCTGTTTTTCTTCAGCTGCAACTGGGGCCTTAGTCAAGGTAGAGGAAATTATGAACAGTTCCAAATACCAGTCAATATTAGCACAAAACCTTCAGGCTTCTGCTAAAAAGCTGAACATGAAGTGGAACTTCATCTTTCAGCATAACAACGACCCAAAGCATACATCCAAATCAACAAAGAAATGGCTTCACCAGAAGAAGATGAAAGTTTTGGAATGGCCCAGCCAGAGCTCAGAACTGAATCCGATGGAAAATCTGTGGGGTGATCTGAAGAAGGCTGTGCACAGGAGATGCCCTCACAATCTGACAGATTTGGAGTGTTTTTGCAAGGAAGAGTGGGCAAATACTGCTAGGTCAAGATGTGCCATGCTGATACTCATACCCAAAAAAGACTGAGTGCTGTAATAAAATCAAAAGGTGCTTCAAACAAAGTATTCGTTTAAGGGTGTGCACACTTATGCAACCAGATTATTTTAGTTTTTTTATTTTTACTTCCCTCCACCTAAAAAATTTCAGTTTGTTGTTCAACTGAGTTGTACAGTTTATAGGTTACATTAAAGGTGGAAAAAGTTGTGAAATTTTTTATCTTTGTCTCATTTTTTTACATCACACAAACCTGACATTTTAACAGGGGTGTGTAGACTTTTTATATCCACTGTAATTGTCTGACAGGCATATCATTAAAGTTGCATCATTATTGTAAGGGTGTGAAGAAACTGGAAGAGTTCACTTACTAATATCTTGCAGTATATATGAGCAAATGAACATAAAAATTAAACAACAACTACTCCCTAGTAAAAGAGCATAATACACCAATAACACTCCCTAAAGACAGACACCACTAGTGCAGACATGATCTGGACATACTCCAAATCGATTGCCTGTGAAGTAATCCATAAAATTGTAAAGTTGGCTCTGTCAGTGGCATTATTTATGTGAATGGAGAGGAGAGGAACAAAGTGAAAAAAAGGTCAGCACTAATTACAAATTTGGGAAGCAATAACCATTGGGATAGATCTTCTAACCCACTGATTGTTCGGTTTAAAGAAAACCTTTACTGAGAAAAAAACAAAACAAACATTTTTAGCAAGCAAGTTGCCTGAAACAAATCCAAAGAACTGGCCATAGTCAGGTTGCAACTGAATAAGAGTGGCACTATTATCTGAGGGGACAGACAGAGAACCAATACGATTCCTACCTCTTAGCTGGCTGTGTCTATGGGTGCCAATAAGCCATCCAAACCAGCCAATTGTGTGATCATTATCCCATTCTCATAAAGCCCAAAAAGCATCTGATGTAAACATTAAAAGTTTCCCCCCATGGCTATTTCACATTCAAATTACTATACCAAAACAATCCTTTACCAGAATTTTCACCCAGTATAAATGCAATCTAATTTCCATAGTGAGATGCATCTTTGGTTTTAGTATTAGAGGGGAAGGATGAACTGATGCATACTTAACACATCACTTTTGAATAAGAACTGCATTCACATCTTTGTATCTTGTGTTATTGAACACTTTCAACACAGGACAATGGATTATACACTCACTGGCCACTGTATTAGGTACATCTGTTCAATTGCTTGGTAACACAAATTGCTAATCAGCCAATCACATGGCAGCAACTCAATGCATTTAGGCATTTATACGTGGTGAAGACAATTTGCTGAAGTTCAAACCAAGCATCAGAATGAGGAAGAAAGGGGATTTAAGTGACTTTGAACGTGACATGGTTGTTGGTGCCAGACGGGCTGGTCTGAGTATTTAAAAAACTGCTGATCTACTGGGATTTTCACCCACAACCATCTCTAGGATTTACAGAGAATGGTCCAAAAAAAAAAAAAAAAAAGAGGAGAAAATATACAGTGAACAGCAGTTGTGTGGACGAAAATGCCTTGTTGATGTCAGAGGCAAATGGGCAGACTGGGTCGAGAATGTAACAGTAACTCATGTCAATCTGGACCAAAATCTCTGAGGAATGTTTCCAACACCTTGTTGAATCTATGCCACGAAGAATTAAGACAGTTTGAAGGCAAAGGGGGGTCCAACCTGGCAAGGTGTACCTAATAAAGTGGCCAGTGAGTGTATATACAGAAAATAAACACCACTATTGAAATTTGCGGTTAAGCAATTTGATCATCTGAGCAAAAAAAATAACATACCCAAGGCACAGCTAAGACGGGCAGCTTTCCTGAGACCATCTAGGCTCATACAGATAGCATCTCTCTCCTTCTGATTTTGCTCCTTCACACCTTCAGCACCCAGTATAAAAGATAAGCCTTTAGAGCTCCCTGCCATGCGTCCAGTAAGGGGAGCAGATAAAGTGTCTATCAGGTTCTTCCAACATCCAATAAGGATGAATCGAGCAAAAGCCACACCTAGAATAAAGAAAAAAGTCAAGTTCTTATAAAACACTCATATTAAAAATATATAAACCATTTCTTTGGGAGGAATGTTTTTATATTTATTTTATTTACACTTCACTAATTGTCAGTAGAAAATATGTAGACAAAATGGTATTGGACATACCTGAATATGTTCAATTAACAATAAAAAAAATTACATTAAAAAATAACAAGAAAATATTTAGACAACCAGACCAAAGGTGGCAGCAACGTTAGTTTTACATTTCTAACAGCCTTATTTACAAAAAAAAAAAAAAAAATAATTCAGGAAATAGTCATTTTTAGGGGGAAAGAGAATGTGCTTCCATTAACAAAAAGGAGAAAATGCTCAAAGTACGGACCCTGCCAAACAGAATGTAAAAGTCGAGCTACTTAGGAACATGTGAGGAACAATTTGAATGATCAACACAAGAGTAAAGGAGTAAAGTTGACATACCTGCTAGACATGATGGGTCCATATTCTTCTCAGGAGGGAGAGGAGACTGTGTCGACATAGATGCTTGGAGCTGCCCACCAATAGCACTGCTTCCCAAACCATCAATATCTATAATTAGCAATTGAATAAAATATAAAGGGATGTATATGACCAAAGCAAGGTGCTGAATACTACATAAGATTTTACTTCTTAAAGTTAGATGGAAACTACAGTAAATTTTATTGAGTGCATATATTTGTGCTAACATAATGTTTAAAGTGATTGTAAGGCTTCATTTTTTTCTATTAAAATAATAAACGTGTGCTTTGTTTAATGGTTTTGCACAGAGCAGCTTAGATCATCCTCTTCTTGGGTCCCCTACAGGTGCTCTGGGCCCCAGTACCCCCAGAGCAAGTCACTTGCTCTGGGGGTACTGGTGCATACTCGCTCCTGAGCCCTGCACCATGTTTCCATAAGACATCCAGAATGAGGCTCGGCTCTACCCCCCTTCCCTTTCCCACTGGCTCTGATTGATATCGGCAGAATGTATCTGAGCCAATGAGGCTCTCTTGCACATTGCTGGATCGAGATCGGGCTCATGACAGTATTTAGGGGGTGGGGCTGCAGGGGAAGCTGCATGGAGAATTTTTGATTTTTACCTTGTTGTTTTTCATGTATTCCAATAGCCCTAACAGGAATGCTCTTGAGGGTTGGCAGCAGATATATGTTATAATGATTGAATTTAAAGCATGTCCTATGCTGAATGTTGACTAATGTTCTGAATTTTATAATGTTATATTAAGCGCTAATGATTACAGTAGAATTGTATTATACCTTAATATCATACACCTACTGATTACTAAAAAAAAAAAATAGGTTCACACAGCATTAATGTTTATGCTTCCTGATGGCTAGACCAGGTATTAAACAATAAGAGCAGTTCATACTCTAGGAGGGTGCCCTGAGTGCCAAAGCATACAATCTATAGGACAACCAAGGGGAATCGATCACATGCTAAAATAACTACATATGCACAGTCTGGATAACTAAAACTTAGCATACACTAGTGGAATTTCACTTGAGAAATTCCATTTAAAGAATGTTCATTCAATTTTATAATCGTTAGTTGGGTCAAATCAACTGTCAATTTCGACAGCAGTGACGAGAGAGAATTCAAAGGAGCAGGATGGAAACATTTTCTTGAATGAACAAATTTCTAACTGTATATGTGGTTTTTGTTCAGGAAATTACATTCACTACAAAATCACATGTCAAAAGCATGCAAATTAAAGTTTTAACTACTTTCAAACAACATTTATCAAGCCACCGTATTCACTGAGAATTTTAGTTTGGAAATCTAAAAGCATATAGCCAGCTTAAGGCGGTGTAGGAGGACAATGGCAATCTGCTTATTGAGCACACACTCCTCAAGAGAGTATAAAATATCTTCAAAGACATTTTTGTGCGGTTTTTTTTTCGACCTCTTCTATACATGAGCAGCTGATAACCAACATTGCATTACTTACTAATGAGCATAGTAATTAGGGGAAGACAGTGTCCCTCAGGGCTTCCCCAGTACCCGGATTCTCCAAGCATGTTTCTGTCTAGGACTTGGTGATAGAGCTCCTCAATCCAGGCCTGGGAGAACACTATCAACACTCCACTCGACTGTATCTGCTTCATGAACTCTTTCTGTTCCAAAACAGACAGAAAAGACAAAGACAATAAAAAAGTGATTATATGCAATTTGAAATGATTGGAATGCATTTTTATTACAAAATATATTTAAAAAATACAGTATGTCTTTAAAAATACAAATCTACAGTTTTCGAATGCATTTACAAATATATATATATATATATATATATATATATATATATATATATATATATATATACATACACACACACACACACACACACACACACACACACACACACACACACACGTTTTTATATATTACAAAATATATAAAGAATATTTTTAAGAAATATATATATATATATATATATATATATATATATATATATATAAAATATTCTTAAAAATATTCTTTATATATTTTGTAATATATAAAAAAAAGTGAATATATATATATATATATATATATATATATATATATTAGTATTTCAAATACATTTTTCTTCCATGGGGGTATGTAATGTATTTAATCATTGTACAGGATTGACAAAATTACTTTAAAAATATAGTCAGATACATACAGATGACACTCGAAAAAATTAGAATTTTGTGCAAAAGTTCATTTATTTCAGTAATGCAACTTAAAGGGTGAAACGAATATATGAGATAGACTCATTACATGCAAAGCAAGATAGTTCAAGCCGTGATTTGTCATAGTTGTGATGATTATGGCTTACATCTCATGAAAACCCCAAATCCACAATCTCAGAAAATTTGAATATTACATGCAATCAATAAAACAAGGATTGTACATAGAACAATATTGGACCTCTGAAAAGTATAAGCATGCATATGTACTCAGTACTTGGTTTGGGCCCCTTTTGAGCAATTACTGCCTCAATAATGGCATGGAAGCGATCAGCCTGTGGCTCTGCTGAGGTGTTATGGAAGACCAGGATACTTCAATAGCGGCCTTCAGCTCTTCTGCATTGTTTGGTCTCATGTCTCTCATCTTTCTCTTGGCAATGCCCCATAGATTCTCTATGGGGTTCAGGTCAGGCGAGTTTGCTGGCCAATCAAGCACAGTAATCCCACGGTCATTGAACCAGGTTTTGGTGCTTTTGGCAGTGTGGGCAGGTGCCAAGTCCTGCTGGAAAATGAAGTCAGCGTCCCCATGAAGCTTGCCTGCGGAAGGAAGCAAGAAGTGCTCTAAAATCTCCTGGTAGATGGCTGCATTGACCCTGGACTTAATGAAGCACAGTGGACCAATACCAGCAGATGACATGGCTCCTCAAATCAACACAGACTGTGGAAACTTCACACTGGACTTCAAGCATCTTGCAGTGTTTGCCTCTCCATTCGTTCCTCCATACTCTGGGTCCTTGGTTTCCAAATGAGATGCAAAAGTTGCTCTCATCAGAAAAGAGGACTTTGGACCACCGAGCAACAGACCAGGTCTGTTCTTCTTTAGCCCAGGTAAGGCGCTTCTGACGTTTGTTGTTCAGGATCGGCTTGACAAGAGGAATACGACATTTGAAGCCCATGTCCAGGATCAGTCTGTGTGTGGTGGCTCTTGATGCACTGACTCCAGCCTCAGTCCAGTCCTTGTGAAAGTCCCCAACACTTTTAAATGGCGGTTTCCTGACAATCCTCTCCAGGCTGCGGTCATCCCTGCTGCTTGTGCACCTTTTGCTTCCACACTTTTCCCTTCCACATAACTTTCTATTAATGTGCTTTGATACAGCACTTTGGGAACATCCAACTTCTTTTGCAATTACCTTTTGAGGCTTTTCCTCCTTATGGAGGGTGTCAATGATGGTTTTCTGCACAACTGTCAGGTCAGCAGTCTTTCCCATGTGATTCCTACTGAACCAGACTGAGAGACCATTTAAAAGCTCAGGAACCCTTTGCAGGTGTTATGGCTTAATTAGCTGATTAGAGTGGGACACTTTGAGCCGAGAATATTGCACCCTTTCACAATATTCTAAATTTTCTGAGATTGTGGATTTGGTGTTTTCAGGAGCTGTAAGCCATAATCATCACAATTATGACAAATCACGGCTTGAACTATCTTGCTTTGCATGTAATGAGTCTATCTCATATATATTTCTGAACTGAAAATAAATGAACTTTTGCACGATATTCTAATTTTTCGAGTTTCACCTGTATATATGCGTGTTCATATTTACCGAATGCATGCATACATACATACATACATACATACATACAGCCAAATGAACCCACTTTCTTTGTTGAGACAAACCCATCTGGATTACCAAGTTACCAAGCATGAAGGCAACACTGGACTCAGATTAAAAAGTCCAGCAACCTAAATTAGCCATAGCTGCACCTTGCATTAAATGAGAACTTGTAAAATAGAAAAGTTTAAACAGTGAAATCAATGTAAATGTATAGTCCATGTTAGGTGAATAGGGATTGTGCAGTTCTAAATTCTAAAATAGCTAGCTTAATCAAGCAGCGGGATTATATACAGTACCAAAATAAAAAGCTAGGATGATACATAGAGCACTGCATTAGTATACCATAAACATCTCACTTACTATTGTCACTGGTGCCAAGGCGGTCTTCTTTCTGTAATAATCACTGTTGGCAAGCTTTAGGTTTAGCAGAAGAGCATAAAAAGCTGCAACATACAGACTGTCTGCATTCAAAAGCGTCATCTGGACACTTGCTCCACCATTATTTTCAAAGCCTGGAGAATGCATCACTCCTATGAAACCATGTATAAAAATTAAACAGCTGTATACAGGAACAATTTTACTAAACGTTTGCTTTTCACATTTCAGTACACGATCTCTAGCTCTATAGGAGCAGCACACCACTAACCTGTGCCCTCATGCACACTAGATTGCCCAGCTCTTCTAACCGCCAAGAGAAAAGCATCAAAAATAGGCCTAAAGCTGCATTTTTGTAAATGTGTTAATGCATGATAACTGCTTTGGCGTTTGTTCATTTCATTGACCTCTACTCATTTAGCAAATCAACCCCATGGGAGGCAGAGGTTGATTTAAAAACAATATAGCTCAAATTACAAAGTACAAATAGTCACTTTAACACTTTGTTTTATCTAATGATTATTTTGCACCAAAAAGTCACTAACAAGTACCAATAAAATATGTTATGTTTTTTTTTTCCCGCATGAAATTGGTGTTCAGCTATTGAAAAGCCAGATATTCTCATACACTGATATTTTATGTTATTCATGCAAAACGAACAACCTCCTGCACTCGAGGTGAATGTTTCGGCAATGGAGGACCTTAGGTCTTCGACAACTTGAAGCTAAGCAAGCCCCTGAGGACTCGGGAAGCCCACAAAGAACACCAGAAAAACAAAAACAAACTGAGTACACTAGCCTTGCACATTACTTTAGAAACTCTGTTTTATTGAAGAAATAAAACAGACGTGCACATGATATCAAGCTTTGGTCCATTGCACCAATCCCAGCGTATGGAAGACACTTCCAATGGCTGACACTCATTGAGGATAGGTACCCTCTTCTTAAGAGCCAACAATACCTATGCATTTTTCCAGTAAAGAAATCTGAAGAAGAGGGTACCTACCCTCGAAACATGTCAGCCATTGGAACGGTGTTCTCTAAGCTGGGAGTGGCGCAGTGGACCAGACTGTGGGTCACTGTAGATATTGATGAGCTTGATATCATATGCGGTTTGCAAGTACATATCAGTTTTATTTCTTCAATAAAAAGAGTTTTTAAGGCAAAGCGCAAGGCTGGTGAACCCTCTGTTTTTGTTCTTCTAGTATTTTATGTTATTGCCAGCCTAAAGCTAGTATTATTTGTAGGAGTAATAACTTGCGTGGTAGGTTTTATAAATTGAATTATACCATTTTATAATAATGGCTATTAAAATAATATCAATAGTGCTGGCCATGATGCATGGTAAGATAGAAGCCACCCTACAAGACAGTCTTGTGTTTACCAAGCTATGGCAACCTTGGGTTGCTTATTCCTGCCAGAAAAATCCAAAATTATTCCTTAACCTATACTGCCCCCTTCAGGTTATTAGGAAAGAAAATGACACCTAGTGTGATATTATAATTAGGCGAGATAAGTTTTGCACGCCTAGGAATCAAAATTTGGAGATGGACAGAGAGAGGACAACACATTACAAGACAGGAGACAAGAAAACAACAGATTGACACAGACACACACGGAAGTGAACTGACTTAGAGCGGACATCACTGACACCACAGAAAATATTGGTAATGTATAACGCTCATTTTTCTGCAAGCAGTTTGTACTAGCCTTATATCTCCAGCTAAACAGTTTAGTCTGCTCTCAGTTATGGTTAGCACCGGAGTTGATGTGAATTAATTTTTACTGCAGTATAAATTATTTTCATATCCATTCTCTGGAGGGAAGATTCTTTTTTTTAAATATCCCTGAAGCTAATTTCAGCTTCTAGCCAATGGTGTAGCTGGGTATATATGACAAAGTCGACAACTTGGTGAAACTTTTGATCCTGACCTCAGATAGATTCGAAGTTATTGGATTGGCTTGTGTATGGTATTCTTAATCAATTCATGCCAAGGTACACGTTGAGCTTTGAATATCCGGTTGTAGAGAGATCATGTGGTCAATTTGCATAGCTGTTGTCATGTGCTGCTGAGCATTTCCTATGCTGCATTTCTAGATAGTTGATTCTAATTCACAAATATTTGAAAATAATTGCTGGTTTGAATTTCTAACCATTATATTGGATTAGATCGTTGTACTGCTATTTTGAATTGTTTATTATTTATCATAACCTATTATATTTCATTACCATTTTGCACGGATTTTCATTATTAATAAATATTTTTGCACATAATTGCTTTTCATCTCATCTTCAGATTAGTGCAAATAAAAAATTCGGATTATCAGTTGATTTATGAAAATTAGTAGGGAATCTCCTTAATTTCAGATCCCCGCCTGT